GTAGTAGAATAGTCCAATACTAAGAGGACAAGACGAACTTCTGCAGGGAGCTTCTGAATGTGAAGCTGGCACAGGATAGTGTCAGGAAGCCTGTCTGTGTGGCGGGAGTTCCGTCTACGCATCTCGTCCCAGAGACATGCAGGCGTGTTGTTGCCGAGAGAGAGACAGGATAATTCTTGTAGGAGAGTGGTGTGAGGCCACTGGTATCGCGTCTTCAGAGCATCCCGTTGGGCAGCGAATTTGTTGTCAGCTGGAGGGTTGGTGATGATCTCTGATACTTGCGTGGCGAATTCTGTGGGCAGGGAACAGACCAGGGCGACGTACTTTTGTTTGTCTGTAGCTGTAGAGCAGATGAGAGCTGCCTCTGTGTTGATAAGCCAGTCTTCAATGTTGTGATTGAAGACTGGGAGAGTAATCAGTTTCTCCTCCATCCTGTGTGAGTGCGATTCTCCGGGGGTCACCATTTGTGGGGTTATGAGATATTGGTTCACACCCAGGATGGGTTAGAGAAAGGAAACTCACAATGTGCTCTCTGTATACATATTGTATTGGATGTACAATGCAGCTTGTTGCTGGGGAGAGGCAGCGTGGTTACAAGCTGGAGTAGTGAGAGCTGGTAGGGGAGCGTGCTCAGAGGAGGTGTTGCTTGCTGGTGGCTGTCGGTAGAAGGAGGTGTTGCTTGCTGCGGCTGAGCTAGAAGAAAAAGGTAGGCCACGGCCACGTGAGGTCTTATACTGTATAGCGGGGGTAGGCGTGGCTTGATAGTTGACCTCCGCTTTGTTAGGCGGAGCTGGCTGCCGAGCTAGAACACGAGGCGAAAGCTGGGGAATTTGAAGAGGGTCGGCTGGTCAGCGACAAACGGCGGAAGTAAGGGAGAGGATCCACTACAGTACTGTAGTGGATTTCTCCCCTACAAACGCTGTTTGTCGCTGAGTAGCCGACTCTGCGAATTCTCCAGTGTATGCCTCGTGGTCTAGGTCAACCAGCGCCGCCTTACATGACGGAGGTCAACTACTAAGCCACGCCTACCCCCGCTATTTAAGACCTGACTTCGTGGTGACCTCTCTCTTCTTCTAGCTACAGCCGCAGCAAGCAACACCTCCTCCTCCGCCGCTGCCTGGCGGCCCTCGCTCCTGCCGGCGAGCATGGCGACCCACAAGCTGTCCTCCTCTGAGTATCCTCACCAACCAGCTCTCTCTACATCACGCTTGTAACCACGCTGCCACTTCCCAGCACCAAGCTGCACTGTACATCCAATACAACATGTATCAGAGAGCGCATTGTGAGTTTCCTTTCTCCATCTCATCCTGAGTGTGAACCCAAATAACTCGTACCCCACAGTACCATCAAAACCGTTGTAGGAATTCGTGGTATAATGTTGTCTAGCACTCAGGATGGATGGAAACTCTTAGGTGGTTTTCTTGTATAATATAAGTTATATGATAGACAGTCTGGTGCTGGAGGTGCCGTGTGGTGAGGAGCTGCTCAGTAGAGACGTTCGGTGAGTAGAGTGTTGAAGGAGGTAGATGTGCAGGAGCTTCGTTAGAGAAGATGTTGCCTGTTGCTGGCCTCCTGGTTGAATGAATGCTGACAGCGTGGAGCTTGCTGGAGGAGGTGTTGCGTGTTCAGGAAGATGGACCAGAATGAAAGCTGGTTGGTGAGGAAGCTCAGAGAAGGACAGCTGGTGGGTCGCCATGCTCGCTGGCGGGAGCGAGGACCGCCAGGCAGGCGAGGAGAAGCGAGGGCCGCCAGGCAGCGGCGGAGGAGGAGGTGTTGCTTGTTCAAGAAGAGAGACCAGAATGAATCTCAATGGAGAGACAGAGCTTATATACCCAGCATCCGTGAGTCCTCTATGAGTCATGTTGGGAAAACCCGAGAAAGTCGCCGGTCTTTGGTTCGTTGCTAGGGAAGGTGGTAACATCTGCTGTCGCCGCTCGCTTGGTTGCTAGGATACGGCGGCGCATCGGAATGCGGATACGCAGTTGTAGGGGAGACGTCCACTACACCGTCCTTTTGTTCAACCTTAATACTGTACAACCCATGTTGTACTGCTCCCCCATTATACTTATGTTTTTGTACTTGTATTGGGGATTGCTGGCCACTTCGCCTTTGGGCTATTTCGGCCGTTATGTTTTTCAATTCCACTGTAATTTATGTATATGCTTATAATATAAATAAAAAACTAAACTAAAAAGAGAAATAATAAATAAATAAAATAAATAAATATTGAAGTGATAACCGTGGTAACATTATGAGATGTTCTTATTACCATCGTGCTATTGTACTATTCCAGATGTTACTAAATGTTACTTAATACTTCCTTGAGATAAATGTATAGTAGATAATTATCAGGTGCCTGAAAGAGAGCTCAGGTTCTCAGCTGGCTCAACCATGCTAATATTGTTATTATTATCCACTTTGTATCTATGTTTTTCTGGCTAAATAAACTGTTTCAATTAATAAATTCAATCAATTACCATGAAATACGATCCACAAATCCAGGTCCCCAATTGCTGCTGGGTAGACAGAGATAAATGGCGTAAAGAAACTCGCAGGTGAGTGGACCCGGGTTCAGAACTTGGGGCCACTACCCCGGCTTAGTAAATACAATAAGGAAAAATGGCCATAATGTTCAATTTGTATGGGTCCCTTCACATGTGGGGATTGGTCTTAATGAAGCAGTAGATATAATAGCAAAAAGAGCCACGGAAAAGGCCGAGATCGACATAATATGTACTAAAACCATGAAGCAATTAAGGAGCAAATTACGGAAAATACAATCAATAGAAGATAATTTCAAAAGGAATGAAATATACGAGAAAAGTGAAACAATGAAACATTACCATCATGTTCTCATGAACACAAAATTTACATATGGGAAAGATAGGAGTAGGTGGAAAGATTCAGTGTATATGAGGTTAAGATTAGGATATAAATATTATTGGGAACTTGGAGCTGAGAGAAGTGAACAGGATAAAGAATGTAGAGTTTGTAGAACATCCAGATCCCATACCCTGCCACATTATATACTGGAATGCCCATTGCTTAATGTATATAGAAATGCCCATATAAATAATGTCTCCAAGCAAATAGAGTGGATGTTTGGAAATGGGAAAATAGATGAAATATTAAAGAAATATAGAAATTTTGCATCTAGAATATAGCTATGTATTATAACTAATTATATGAAATATTAGGGATTTATGTGAGTCCTGAGAGGGACATTCCTGGACTGGGGTGAGGATGACTTATGTCACTTCATCCCTTTGAGATGTATTAATGTTTTTTTGTATCTCAATAAACGTATCAATCAATCAAACTACCCCGGCAACCTTAGTTCGCTAGGTGTTTCACATCACTGCCAGAGTTGCCAACTTAGCGACTTTGTAGCTATATCTAGAGCTTTTTGTTTTTTTCTAGCGACATTTTAGAGCAATTTGTGACTTGTCGCAAATCTAGAGATATCCACAGAAATCTAGCGACTTTCTGGATACTTTTAGGACTGTCCATGAAAACTCAGTTTTCCTAATTTCGAGCCATAATATATAGCAACGGGGTTACAGGGACAATACATTTGAACGGGTTGAACTCATAAAACAACTTGGTCAACGCTTACCTGACAACATTCGTGTGCTTTTTTTTTTTACTTTTATCCTCTTCGCCACTGATCGGCTTGTTAGCCGCTTGGGCGATCGGTCTATTTCTTTTCTGAGTGCCGATGAATGCTTGAAGCCTATTAAATCAGATATACTTGGTTTGGCACACTTATTTACAGAAGATTCCAGTACCCTTACCAAGATTGATTTCCAGTGGAAAAAACTGCATCACACAATCTGGACAGAAACATCTAACACTCTAAAATTGTGGTCAGAAGTGGCAAATTACAGAGATGCGACAGGTGAAAACCCTTACCATGATCTGGCTGAAATTGCACTCGCTGCCTTATCTCTTCCGCATTCAAAGGCAGATGTAGAGCGCACATTTAGTAATATGAACTTTGTGAAACCAAAATTGCGCAACAAAATGAAACTATCGACAATAAAAGGCAATTCTTACAATAAAGTATGGGTTAAAAGACAGAACACCTGTTGTGCAAGTTATGAACTTCCTAGTGATATTTTAAGAAAGATAGGGACTGTGGAGGCATACAGTTACAAGAGAACCTGAACCAAGCACTTCACATGCTTCCAGCTCTACAGTTGTTCACACTACGAAGAGGACTGGGATGCAATTACTATTGAATACTAGGTAAGTGTGCACATTAAACTTTAAAAAAAATAATATTTTTATTTTTACATAATACATTTTATTTATACTGAAGGGGGGGAATAATAGCTAGCGACTTTCCATGGAAGATTTAGCGACATTTAGCTACTTTTAGGTACCAGCCTAGCGACATTTGAAAATCCTAGTTGGCAACACTGGTCACTGGTGTTGTCGTGCACGGTGTGGCTGTGTGTTAGAAGAACATTTCCTTATTGGTAGTCATACTAAAACACAGAGTCCTGCTAATAGTGGAATAAAATGATGAAGATATTTGCGCTACTTGTTTTTATATTTTTGTTTTTTATTGACAAATCAGTTGGTAGATGGGAGAATGTAAAATATTGTTGAAAAAGTATCAGGAAGGCGGCTTCAAGACAAGTGTTTGTTATTTTTTTGCTGAAATCTAGACAACTAACAAGCCGATCTGTGGAGAAGAGAATAAAAGTAAAAGTAAAAATATAAATCAACATAAGTATTAATCAAGGCAGCAACAATGTTTTAAACTAAAAATCTTATGTGGTGTTTAGATCCGGTTTGTTTAATTTGTGTTGACTGCTGAACAATATAAGGTTTATTGTTGGTGGTAAGTTATTAATAATACCTAGAGGACATTTAACGCAGTTTTTGCACCATCTTAAAATATGAAGTGAAGTACTGTACCCCTGTTAGGGCTTGGCTAAACTAACATCACTATTGTATGCGTGTTAAAGATTAAAAGCACAACAGGAGTGAGTAATCTTGACTCATACATGTATAGAAAAAGATTAGATATATAGTGATATAATTACGTACTCTGACGACTGTTAACTTGGTACCTGTTGTGCCGTAAAATTATATAAGGATTGCTAGGACTACACTCATTATTTGAAGTCTTGTGTGGTAAACGAGATTGTCATGCTGATAGAGTGTTGTACTGTGTAGTGGGCTTCAAGAACCCGTCTGTAATTTCATCTTAAGCTAGGGTTGAGACGGGAGAGTTGTACTAATTTACTGATATGTCAGCTGGGTTAGTTCGGGTGTTCCAATCTTTAAGATTTAATGGACAAATAAACTGAAAATCAGTGATTTATTCCAGTTCACTCTGTAGGCCGATCGCCCAAGCAGCTAACGAGCCGGTCAGTGGTGAAGAGGTTAAAGGTAAAGAATATGTGTTTATTGTGGAAAGAATGGAAACTTTCCCCGTCTATTTCCGCTCATTTCGTGGGTATAAACTGTTAAGTATAGCGAGTGATTCGATCAGTATTAGTTTTAGGACCGCCCACAATGTTTTAAATTAAATTATGTATGGTGAATTTGTATTAGTGCACACAACTCTGTATTTTGGTGTTTTGATTGGTTTTGGCCTTGATTTCCGTCGGAAATTACCTTTTTTATTTAGTTACTGGGTGTTACTAGAAAAACATATAAACTGAACCTTTTTGGGGATGATCTGACCTGTCCTGACCTGACCTAATCTATCTCACACCATATGATGGAATCACTTATTTCTTACCTTATTGGCCTGATTCTGGTTCCTTTGTAATCACTGTCGGTGTAAGAACACCAACGTCTTTTCTTTGAATTGGGAAGCCACATATGTTGGTCTTGATGATATTTACATTTGTTCTTACACTTAGAACACTTTACTGATGTCGGGAGAACACCATGAGATCTGAAAAAATGCTATAGCTTGTTCGTTTTTTTTCCCCAAAACTTGCAATCAACTCCATATAATTGAAATGACACCCATTGCAGACTTTCATGGTTGGAAATGAATTTGCATTTCAAAATATGAGACCCAAACTCAGAATTGAATCTGATTTGGCAAAAATACTGCAAATTAAACCACAATTCATTTAATTGGTGGGAAAAAATGCTTTTGATTGGCTGCTTGACGTGTACGGGAACGCTTGCGCGTGACGATTTATGAAGGAAACACGCAGAGTGAGAGGTCAGGTAGGCGATATTAGCGAAGGTTAATGGAAGAAAATAGAGAAATATCTGGCTTGCGCTATCTCCGTTATTATCTTTTGCGAAAGTAATGTAATAGAATGAAATTATCTTCAAATTAGACGTCTTATTCGAATATAGTAATATATTTGGGGTAGGAAAGTTGTGTGCACTATTACAAAAATACCTTATGTTTTTTGTGTATACATTTATTTATTTTTATTTTTTGAATGAATGAATTACTCATTCATTTATTGGGCAAATTGGGTTAATATTGACAACTGACCTGCCAATGAGTTATTTGTTTTGATGTTTATTTTCTTACTCTATTTTCATCAGTGAGTTCTGATGTAATAATCATTTCATGTGCAATTAATTTGTTTGGTATATATTTAGGCTCCTAAGGTGCTCACTATTTTGTCTTCGGTGGTTTTATGTTAAGGTCAGGTTATGTTAGGTTGAGTTAAAAAAGAAATGCATGAACTATGACAGTGTCCTCCCTAACACTGCTTTATGTTAAGGTTAGGTTAAGTTAGGTTGGGTTAAGTTAGGTTGGGTTAAAAAAAAAAAAATTACACAAACTACAGCAGTGTTCTTTATAGAACACAGTGAAATTGCGGCGTTTTTACAGCATAAACGTTTACAGGTGCTCCCCGACTTACGACGGGGTTAGGGACCCAAATCCAGGTCGTAAGTCCGAATGGTCGTAAGTCCGACATAGGTAAAAAAATAAAATAAAAAAATAAATTGTTCAAAATTTTTTTTTTTTAAATAAATAAAAAATCTACAATGAAATACAGTACAGTAGAAGTAATAAATATTGAGGAATGGATACAGTGTGACTGAGCACTTACCTTTAATGTCGTCAGCTGAATGCACACGGGGCCCCCATAATTTTCTAATTATACATGGAGACTACATTAACTGGAAACATTTCGGTATAGAAAATGCGTGCGTCATTTGAAAAAAAAAAATTGGTCAACTGCGGCGGTCGTATGTCCCGACGGTCGTAAGGTCAGAGCATGTTGTAAGTACCGATGGACGTACAGTAAGTCCAAGCAGTGGTAAGTCGGGGACTACCTGTATTATGCTAAATTGCCACAGGTCAATCCTTATAAGCCAACTTGAACCAAGAAACCACTTTAAATTTCATAAAAACTCACAAACTCAATCTTACCTAACCTAAGAAACTGATTTCATTTTTTTACCGTAAAACACTGAAGATTGAAGAAAAATTCCATGTGGCTAGTGGCATAGAGAAGCATTTCAAGGCAAGGTAGATAAGGGGTAAACTTAGAAGGAAACCATCTGCCTAAAATGCACCATAGTATAAGACCTTTTATTTTTTTAAATACAAAAATATCCCAAGTATTACACCGTGGGTTGTGCTAAAACAAATATTGGCCAATGATTCAAGGAGTAGGCTATTGTAGATTGGATTAGTATAGGTACTGTAACCTTTTACTGTACTTTCACAGAATTTCACCGTTGAGATGTTTATCAGACAGCTTATAAGGCAGACAACAACTACGGTATGCAGAAGGCTTTCAACACATGCAAGACCATTTCCTGTGTTGAAGGATACAATAGATGCTTCATGTCCTCAGCTGGCAGCAGGAAAAAATAAGTCAGAGGAGCAGCTACTTCAACTTCAGCAGCTCGGCGAAATCTGCCTTGCTGGAGGTAAGCCTTGTATATTTAGGTTCTAGTTTTATTGCAATTGGTAAAGGTGTAGGAGATGGTTAGCACCCGAACGCATTTATGTATTTCGTTCATATTTACCACAGTTGTTCTTTGAATAATAATAACTAGTAAAATTGATATGACAACTTTTTATTTGAAGTATAATTTTTTTCCTTTTTCTCTGTCTATGATCATAAATCACTTGTAGTGGGTAGGGCATGAAGGAAGAGGAAAATTGCGGAGTAAAAACATGGTGAAAACTGATCGTATGACACTAAAATCAACTCTACGTGCTTTGTAGACGAAGAAATTTTGTATTTACCATAAATATTCCGCTGACAATGCTGGCCTGACGGCACACACTGTCTTCCAGTTGTAAAGAAATTAATTCTGATTCCGGTCTTGCTTAAATTGTCATTATACAATGTAGCCTCATATTGAGGTTTTTAGTAGCTTCCTTAACTATCGGCTTGTCTTTTTTTTTCTTTTCCCTCTACCATCCAGAGTTGTGAGTCTGTAGCGTGAGTATGTGGCGCAGTTAGTCAAATTTCTTCTTCTTATGTGTCGACTTTCTCTTTCTTTAGGACCACATACACATGTACATAAAGGAGATCTCGCACTCAGGATGGAGGTGAGGAAGGAAACTCTGAATGGCATTAACTCCACATATATTGTATGTACAATGCTGGGGAGTTGCTGTGTTGTGGAGGAGCTTCTTGAGAGGAGGTCTTTCGGCTTGAGAGCGTGGTGAAGAATGACCTTCATGGCGAGGCAGGGGGATATTTATGCAATCCTGCCTACTCAAGTTTCAAGGTGCGAGATGAAAGGCACCGCTGATTGGCTGGGCGAGGACAGCAGGTGGCCAATCAGCGAGTGGTTCAGGAGCAAAGGCTGTGGTATGGAACTCACTGCTGATTGGCTGAGGCAAGGACAGCGGAGGGGTTGTAGTGAGAGTAAGCTACTACAAGTCTGTGGCCTGCGCAAATCCCATATATTTTTTCTTTCTGCACGATAGGTACTTAAACCTATTGTTTATAAATGATGAGTCATGTTGTTGGAATCGAAACCCATATTATGAGTTTTGATTACTCTCCAATACCTTACGAGTATCAATGGTTAATAAGAATTGTATGTTCATATACTTAATGTTCTTCCTCAAGGATGAGGACTGAAGGAGAAGCCATATTGTTTTTCAATGGCGTCCATATCACAACGTGATTCGGCATCGTATCACAAGTTATCTGTGTTTGTGGAGGATGAAGACCGTTTTCAAGAGTTTATCTGTCAACATTGACTAGTCGGCAGGACGAGCAAGTGTTTAAAATGAAGCAGAAAACTAACAGTAAAGAAGAAATATGTGTTTCAGTACCATAACCAATCATATTCTCATGTTTACAAAAAACATAAAATTACACCATGCTGCTTCAAGATAGTTGCTTCCGTTGGTACCAGATATCAAAGTAAGTTCTCTCTGCCTAATGTGCCGGGCATTCCCGGGGCTGGAGCCCCCTGGGTAGGTTTCTTTGATTAGGTCAGCTTTTATGCATTTCCATTTCCATTTTCATGTTCCCATAGCATGGAAATACTGTAGTACCACCAAAAATTTTGATTCCCTCCCAACTCTCTCCCAAGTACATCACAGTAGAAGATGATGAACCGTGCGTACAAATGTTTACCTTTCTCCTGGATAAACTTATGAGTCAAGTGGTACGTGGCAGTGGTTCAAATCCTCTATCCAAATGTTTAGCGCTTTCTCCATTTTAATCGGTGCTGATCTCTCTCATATTGTGTCACCTTTGCTGCTGCTGGGGCACTAGCAGTAACTGCATCAACGATGTCTTTCTTGTTTTTTTATGTAGCGAACTGTTGATTCGTTAATCCCATATGCCCTAGCGCATACCACATAGCTCCTGCCACTCTCAATTTTCTTTATGATTTCCACTTTTTCTTTTATAGTCAACACTTTTCTTTCTCTCTTAGGCTTCTTTGGTGCATTACCTGTCTTGTTACCACATTTAGAAGGATGTTTTGGAGCCATGAGAGCCTTTTTAGCACAAAACATATGGGTCACAGCGAGACGTATGCACAGTATGGTGGGGGACACGAGTGAGACATTGAGAGACGGGAAGCTGTGCTCTCTGGTTGTGATGCCTGGTGGTTTCTTGCGGAAGTTAATTTGCGTGCACAATTCAACCATATACAAAATCAGTAATACCTGTTGCAATGAAAATATATTTCTGATGAAAATCTGCGAATACTCGGAACCGCAAATACAAATCCTCAAAAAATGAGGGTGCACTGTACCGTTTCCTTTAGTTTTTTTAAGTAAGGTGCATTATTTTTCTAACCTTTACATGGTATTGTGTGATGGCATCAATATTTTCATTATTTTAAATATATTGAATATATGCGTTGAAAAGGCAGGCAATAGAATGTGATTTGTATTTTGTTGTACCTTCTATGAAATATTTTACATAAGATTGTTGTTCGTAGCATTTCAAAATCGGTAAACTTCCCAAAATTTTTATATCTTTTAAAGTCATAACTGTATAGAGGTTTAAAAAAAATAGCTTAAATATGTGAGCAATAATAATTATATATACCCGGTACATGTAATAGAATATTTTAAAGGCCCCAAATACTATATCTTACGTATGAAATAGTCCATAAACCGATTCATAACCCGGCGGTATTTCATCCATTATTTTCCATTTTGGGCTTGCAGTCTCATCTGCCGTCCCTTTTGGATCCACTTTTTTTCATATTCTTCAAGATTGAAAATCAGAGGAGGTGTCCCAGCCAGTTTAATGAAGAACAGGAGTAATGCCAAGGCAGTTTCTTGTAGCACTGATGATAGTGTTCATGCTGGTAAATGAGCGCTCACATTCACAGCATGATATGATTACTGAGTTGATGGCAGATAGCAATGATTTAAATTTTAATGGAATTATTTTTCCTTTCTCATATATGTGCTCACGAAGTTCCTCTACTGATTCATTCATTGGTACTTGGAACTGTTCACTCAGGTAGCTAATGGCTTTGTCACGAAGACAAGTATCAGGATCAGTGGGCCAGTTTGTTGGATCTAGTATTTCTAAGTGCTTCATCATTTCCATATATTGTACATGTATTTAACATAACTGCTGCTTTAACATGACTGTTTAGTTGAATGGGAAGCTACTGATGCAAACATCCTCACTGCAAGGTTACCTGCAAGAGATGTGTAAAATTCATGAGGATCATTGACCTTCACACACTGTGGAGGGTGAAGTGTTGCTCCACTAATATTCAGAGTACTGTATTTGCCACATCCTGTGCCATTGTCAGATATACTCCTGGGTTGTTGATTAAGGACTGGTATAGCCTATGTTTTCTCTCAATTAGTTTGTGTGCTTTTGACAACGTCACTCATCGTTCTTGTAGCCCCAGCGACAAATCTTCTAACTCTATGAGTGTATCCAACATCAAGCCCATATTAGTTACAAACGAAATATCAGCTCTATGTTCTTTCAGGCCCCGGTACTGAGCTTTTCAGATGTACTTCATGCAATGTCATTCTTAGCAGCTTTAAAGTACTTGAACATTGCAGGATAATCCTGCCATACAGCCCCGATAGAGCGAGCACTAGATGCAACCCATCTTACCCCAAAGGCACCAAACTTTAAACAACTGCTTGTTCAACGAGGCTGCACAGTCTTTTAGTTCACTGCAGTTTTTTGGTGATACGTTGTAAAAGCTGTATAGCTTCTCAAAGAAAATTTTCATGTGGCACACTCCTGAGAGTTCTTTAACAACATCAGATACTGCAAGTTCTAAGCAGTAATTTGCATAGTACCACGCAATCATATTTTTATTTTTATTTTTTTTTACGGGGATTAGCCCACCCAGGCACAGGTCACTGACCCACATCGGGGCCTGGGAGGCGAAAATGTAGTAATAATAATAATTATAAATAGTAAATGAAATTTATAATATAATAAAACAAAATTGAAAATAAAATAATAATAATAATAATAATAATAATAATAATAATAATAATAAAAATAATAAAGAACCATAAAAAAAAAGATCAAAAGTGAGAAACAATATACTGTATGTATGTTGTGTTGTCAAAGTAAGAGAAACAATTGAGACCCTGCAATTGTGTAAAAATGAGGCAGAAAGTCAGATCAGCAACCTGGGACTTGGTGAAAATTTTCTTGATGCCATATGGCAGCAGGGTCTACCATTAGACAACGCATTATGCTTCCAATATCTTCCCAGGCGGTAGTACCTCCCTGTTTGGTAGCTGCCTACTACCTACTGCAGAAACATTGCGATCAGTTTGGCTGCAACATCAGTATTCCTGCATAATATATTAACTGCACCATCCTGAGCAAATGACACATGATGACAAAAACTCTGTGGTAAAGCCAAGATCATTTAGTCTCACAAGTAGAACAGATACAATTTCTGCAGCAGTGGTTATAGTAAGCTTAACAAGTTTAAAAAACACACTTGTGGCTGCATCTGTTTCTGGAAATTGGACTCCGATACAAATAACTAATTCTGTCTTTTTACTTATTGATGTTGAATCATTAATCATTAAACCATTATTGAGTTTTTCTGCTTACTGTTTCAGTCACTAATTTCTGTCCCATAGCATTAGCAATGTGAACACTAATGTCTGCACAAGAATGATCACTGTGTAAAACACGTCCCATATCAACTCCATTAAGCACCTGAAGATCTACGACATTGGGCAAGTCAGCAAATGGGCGTCCAGTCTTGCAAATATACTGTAAACAGCTCAAAATACACAAGTAGATTCTAAACATGACAAATTTTGTTTTGCTACAATGTTTTCTAAAGCTTTGTTTGAAGCTGCAGATGTTATTAGTGCATATACTGTATAGGCCTTTCCCTCTTATCAGCCTTAGGCCCCTCACAACCTTAATCCGGCCCTGGTTACCTGACATTGTCAAAGGTGATCGCCGCGTGATGCCTCAAAGGGGAATCCCAGTTCAGGAGGTGATGTGAGTGTAACCCTACCTGTGACCGTACCCCACACCCAGTCTTGTTCCAATTATCCCATCCCTGGGGACAGTTTGTCAGACCTGCCACTCAGGTACGGAAAGTGACAGTTACAGTCAGAAGCTTGTGCTCCATGCTGATCAACACTCAAAATTAAATCATGTTACCGATAGGTCAATATTTGACCGATGCATATGATACCTTTGCATATGTCAGAATTTTTGGAGCGATGCAAGTGCATTTGTTGCATCGGTCTGGATTGGGCCCTGAAATTCCAACCCCCAAATTGTCAGGACAAGTAAAATTAAATATCCAGGTAAGTAAATTTCCAAAGTTATTTGTCTAGGACAAGTAAATGTTCCAAATATCTGCACAGCCTGCTTGAAAAACCTTGGCTTCAGCTTTGGCTTTATGTCTTTCTAAATTGCTGGCCTTGGCTAGGCTTCGTGACTTTCCAATGGCTTCAGCTTCGAAGTCAGAGGCTTGGCTTCAGCTTCGAAGTCAGTGGCTTGGCTTCGGACCCATGTCTGAAAGGCAGGCCATCCTGTATCATCATATCACCATTTAGCCTGCCTACATCACAAGCTCAAGATGACAGCATCTGCTGGTGACTACAGAGCTGTACAGGGGTTCCTTGACTTATGAATGCTCGCCGATACGAACGGGGTTAAACTTGAAATTTACAGTATTTTATTTACCTGATGACATATTTTTTTACTTTCATTTACTGTATTTTGTCATTCTATTTCTTTTTTTGGCTTAAATTAAGTGATTTTAGATGTATATAAGGACTTTGGCTATGATGTAGTGGTATTTTAAACATTGTTCTGTAAGTATGGTATGCACATAGCATGTGTTCCGACTTACGTACAAATACGACTTAAGAGCGTCCTCAGGAATGGAACCCGCTCGTAACCTGGGGACCCCCTGTATACTGTACAGTACTGCAATGTGTTTTGTTTATTTACAATATACTGTACAGTACTGTACTTGTACACTGTACAGTCTACGCGGAAGGTTAAGGCACAAATTGGGCTGTGACTTCACTTTTAGCACAAATCGTTTTACCCTCAAGATAGGGATAAATTTTGATCAGAAATATTTAGTCACAATTCTAACGGCATCTGGAACCCTTAGGCGACAGCTGTCACATAGGAGGAACCGCTCAGTCTTTGTTTAGGTTGCGTGGGTGGAGGTTATTGTACCCATGTGAGCGCCACGTGCCGTGATTTTACGCCTGAGTTACAGTGCTTTATCGTGTGATTTCTGGGTCTTTAAGATGTCCAGGAGAGTTACTAAGCATGAGGATATTGCACAGGTGATTGGTTTATACAAGGCTAATCATAAAGTTACTGAAATAGTTGAATTAACCGGTGTGTGCCGCCGGTCAGTGTACCGATTCATCTCGGAGTTTGAGGCAAACAGCCAGGAAGAGTTGCCTACCCCTAAACCCAGGTCTGGGCGACCACGGCTAACGTCTCCTAGAACCAGGAAGGTGATTGCTAGGCAAGTTAATGCTAATCCTAAGCTCACGGCACGGGAATTAAAGCAAGCTAACCCCGGACTCCTTGGTAACGTCTCCTTAAGGTCGGTGCAGCAGCTTCTTCATGACGATCTCGGTTATCGCGCCTACCGACCACGCCGTAAGCCCCTGCTGACTGCTGCCCAGAAGAAGAAGAGGATCACTTTTGCGAAGAAGTACAGTGTCTGGTCCCTTCAGGATTGGAGGAACGTCCTGTGGAGTGATGAAGCCACGTTTACAGTGAGTGGTTGTGGTCACGATAGGGTGTACCGCCGGCCAGACTCTGACCCGCTCGACCCCAGGTACACCGTCAAGACGGTCAAGCATCCTGATTCAGTGATGGTATGGGGTTGTTTCACTTATTACGGTGTTGGTGAGTTGGTTGTGCTTGAAAAAAACATTAAAGTTAACCAGGGTGTGTACCTCGAGCTTTTGTGACCTTCTGCCTGACTCGTTTGAGAAAATACGCGCTGTTGTGTTCATGCAGGACGGTGCTCCCTGCCACACAGCCAAGTCGGTTACTCAGTGGTTGGAGGATTGCCAGGTTTCATATTTTAAGGACTGGCGTGGCAATTACCCCGACATCAACCCTATTGAGAACCTTTGGGGGCTCATGAAACGTCGCCTACGTGACCTCGACACCTCGTCCGTCCCCAAGCTCACCACAGCAATTAAGCAACTGTGGGCCAATTTCACCCCACAGCACCTGCAAAACCTTGCAGACAGTGTTCCACAATGACTGAAAGAGGTGCTGAAGAGGAAGGGAAACAACAAAATACTAAGAGGGGTGGGTGAGTGTTATTTTCATTTTTTTATTGCCTTAACATTTTTTTATTTTTCCCCCATGGTGTGCCTTAACCTTCCGCGTAGACTGTACAGTAGTGTTTGCATAAATAAATACCGCTGTATAGCTGCAGTTATGCTTTCATACCAACAGTGCTCTGTGCCAGATGCCTAGTTTAGACGTGGAAACATTCACCAATGCCCGGAAAAAATCTGTGGATGTGCGATTTTTTTCCGGGAATAAGAGAATTTGTCTCAAAACCCAGAAGTCTCTCAAACTTGGAAATGCTTTGCACCAATTGTTCTGGCTAGCAGGGACATTAATTGTGAGTTCAGTTAATGGACAGCATCTCGTCTTCTCAAGAATGTCCTAGAAACATAAAATACAGTGGGGTATGCTATAACGAACGGATCCTACTACGAATATTCCTATAACGAACGGTTTTACCTATAAAATTGAGAATGCTATAACGAACCCAACTCCTACAACGAACGCGGATGAATACGGGACTATTTCGCCTGGCGCATGAATATTGTTGTACCGCGACCCACAACAAGAGCGTCAGGCGCCATCTTTGTCTCATTGTGTAGCCAGTGCACCACTGTTATTGTTGAAATTTCGTCTTTTGATGTGGAAATTCGCGTTATTTGTATAACTATTTTGTTATACAAGTATACAATTGTAACAATGAGTCGTCCAAAGCGAGTGAGAAAGCTAATAACCCTTGAAACTAAGAAAGAAATTATAAAGAAACGTGAGAATGGAAGAAGCATTGCAAAACTTAGTGATGAATATGGGATGGCTAAATCGACTATATGTACGATTTTGAAGAATAAAGAGGAGTTAAAAACTGTGCAAGTGGCTAAGGGAATCTTTAGACTTAGCAAAGCAAGGTGTAATGTGATCGAAGAGATGGAAAATTTACTCTTAGTGTGGATAAAGGAGAAAAATGGCAGGTGGTAACATTAGTGAAGCTATAATTTGTGAGAAGGCTAAACAATTGTTTGAGGACCTTAAAGCCAAGACTCCCAGTGGAAGTGATAGTGATGTGCCAGTGTTTAGGGGTACGTGCATGCTGAATAACACTAAGGTAAGATAAAGTACCGTATTTTTTACATTTTCCACAGAATTTTTTCAGTGTTAAGCGGTTGTATTTGGGGGCCTGGAACGGATTAATCCTATAACGAACGAATGCTATAACGAACGAGGTTCTGGAACCAATTACGTTTGTTATAGCATACCCCACTGTACTGGATGTGAAAAATGGTGCATTGTGCAACTTTTCTATGCACCCAAACAGTGTAAAACTCATAAAAGTTGTGGAAAAATCATTTCTTGACTACAGTATTGTGATTTAGAAGTAAAGTACAATATAAAACTGAAAAATAAGAGAAATGGAGAACATGGGTGTGTGGGAGGTGATTGTATGTACAGTATATAGAGGCAGTGGGTGGTTTGTCAATAGCACATCTGGTATGTTTCACATGCATCTCTGCTTTATACATTAAGGTAAAGGGGCATTGTACTATCCACAACCATTTCTTATTCCTATCCCTCGTGGACAACAAAGACTTGGTGTAAAGAATTTGGAAGAAAAATATAATAATCTGTAGCATATGCATTTCCTGGTATGTTTTTATAATAAAAAATATATTTCCTAAAATTCGTCAAACACTTGTACCTGTATGTGCTGTCACAGTCTCAGGAATATCATCTTCCTAAGTGCATTATTGCTTCACAAAAGGCTTTAATTGAAAGATTAATGACCAGTGTTACTACAGGTCTTGGGTAGAAGGAGGTACAGTATCTTGTTTTCTTTTGTCTTATAGTATTTTCTCATGTTCCTGTCCATAGGTGGAGAAAAGGGTATAGCATTGCATGTGAAGAGGAATCGTAAGATGCTGGTACGAGATAAATTGAAGCTTCTTCTTGATGATGATTCCGACTTCCTAGAACTTTCATTACTTGCTGGTCTTAACATGGAGTATGGAGATATACCTTCAGGAGGTACTATTAATGGTATGTATGCCACTGCATTTAATTTTCTTCATTAATAAAAAATGATTATTCAACACTACTGATCATTCTGTTTGTAAAGGAGTAATAATATTGAATGTACAGTCTCCCAATAAAGTATCATTACCCATAGGGTCGATGTGATTCGAGGCTTTCCAAGCAATGTTAGTCGACCTGTTTCTGAATGGATGGTAGTTCTACATTGGCCACCTTTGAGCATGAATGAGTATACAGCATAAGTTTTTGAACGGTACATACATAGCTTAATGGATTTCTTGTTATATTGAAGTATCTAGTATGCCATCCAACGACGACTTCCTCCCCCAATCCTACCCCCATCTCTAGCTTTTGCTGATATGGTGAGCAGGCATACCAACTTATGATGATGCACTGGGAATCACATCAAAGCATTTCGTTCAGCGTTTCAAATTGTAGCGACAGAAAATCTAACGATACTATTTAGGGGACTGTACATGAAGTTATGGCCTACTGTTTTTTGGTGAATGGCCTGTGAAATTCACATTACAGTGTTATAGAGATGAGAATTTAGAGGCAGGATACATGCTTCATATTTATTGTATGATGTTTTACTCCTCCTATGTGCTCCCCTCTGAAGGGTTGGCCATGACAGGAGAGCCTCCAGGCTGCCCTAAAAACTTTCTTTGTCCTTGTTATTCCTGTTATCTCCCTCTACCCAGTGTAACTGCAATATTGTTCCTACACACAATTTTTATTATCATCCGCATCCCTTTCACATGTCCATATAAAAGCAGTGAGCTTCTCTATACCCTTTCCTCCACTCCACAATTTGCTCCCTGTGTCCTCTCTGCTATTCCAAATGCCCCTTGCAATTCACTGTTTTTTACCCATTCTATTTTGGTAACTCCAGCTGCAGCCTTCATGCAACTTCTTTGTAGATGAATTTTAGGGCCTTCTGCTTCTCTGGTCCTGTTTACCTTGTAAGTACTTTTCAAAGAATAGAGGTTTATCAGAATCTTTCTAATATGGTAGATACACATTTTCTCAAGTTTTCCAGTTCTGTACTGTGTTGCCATTTCCTTTAGTGTCAGACGTTAAAATCAGATGTGCATATATAATTTCCTGCTTTCTTCTTGTTTGTTGTATATCTGATATTTTTGCAATTTTCAGCGATTGGAAAAATCCATGGGAGATATTGTGTAATAATGAGCAATGATGGAACTTTCAAGAGTGGGACATTTTATCCAATATCTGTTACAAAAAATATTCGCTCCCAAACAATTGGTGAAGTTAATCGTCTTCCCTGTGTATACATAGTGGACTCAGCTGGTGGATTTCTACCCCTTCAGGTAATTTGTTTAAAGAATAATAGTTAATGGCAAATTTACTATTGTCTTACAGTGTGATGCTGATAAGGAAGTTCTTGTAATTGACTCTGTAATTAGTGTCCTAGGAGTGTAGGGTTACCTTTGAAATGTTTTTGTTTCATCCACAAGATATTATTATTAATGTTTTTTATTTAATGAATGATAGTTCATACTGAATCTATTTGAAACACTTGGTTAGCAGTCATAGCCATATCCCCACTTATTGAAGATCTTGTAAAACTATTCCAGATTTTCTTATCCAAAATTCTTGAGACACACCATAAGTGGGTCATGGTGACTACATGTTTTCAGCCCTTATTCAAGTGTCATCACCTATAATTGTCACTTCATCCCCATAGAAATTTAGCATAATTCTTATTTTAATGTACACTCCAGTGTCTATTACCCAACAAACAACATCTTTTTTTTGTGATGCTATGTGAGTCACTACACAAAGAGCCAGTTAGAATTTTCATATTGAATGAAATAATTTAGTGATATCTCCGTTAGTCGAAACAATTGGTGCAGAGCACTTCCGGGAATGAGAGATTTCTGGTTAATGAGACGACTCTCTCAAAGCCGGGAAAAAAATTCCTTATCCCTGGAATTTTCCGGGTAACAGAAAAATTTTCTCGGAAGTTCCAGAAATTGCCCATTACATCATCTCTTGAACCTGGAAAAACATCCCCCATCCCTGGAATTTTCCTGCTACCAGAAAAATTTTCTACGAATTTCCTGGAAATGTGTCTGATTTTTATCTCTCAAACCCGGAAAATCCCCCTCATCCCCAGAACTTTCCGGAATTTTCGGGGAACGGGAAAATTTTCTCAGAATTTTCAGGAAAATGTGCCCCTCGAAAATTGTTCCGAAAGCTGGAATTTTCTGGGAAATTCCAGCTTTGGGAACAATTTTCCAAGAAAATTTCATTTCCGGCTATCGGAGAGTTCTGGGTTTGAGGGATTCTGGCTAATGGCGATATATTACTGTACAGTATGTAGCAGGGTAGATAAAATATGAGCATGATGTATGTCTGTGTCAGTTTATTAGCTTTTTGAGTTATTATGATTTTATGTTCCAGTCTGAATTGTTTGCTGACAAAAATCATGGTGGCCGTTGCTTTCGCAACCCACCAATCATGTCAGCAGCGGGGATACCACAGATAGCTATAGTGTGTGGTTCTTGTACTGCAGGAGGTAAGCTTTAATTTATGTTAGAATGTTAATAATCTAATGCATTATCTCTGACAGTCTGCTTTGTTTATCAATACATATTATCATATTATACTGTACAGTATACAGGCATCCCCCGCGTTACGGAAGCCCGGGTTCCGGAATTTCGCTCTTACGTTATTTGTAAATTATGGCCAATAATTTTGCGTTACGGCCCGTAAATCCGCCCTTACGGAAATTTGGGTAAATTTTAACAAACACAAGGCCTCACACATGCCATTCAGACTAACAGAATTGACAAGTTTTACCAACCATAAAGACAGTTGAAGCTTTAAACATCACTCACAATGGGTCTTGAATATTCCAACTGTAATCAGACATACCTAAGTTGCCTCAACAATTGCAACCCCAGTTGCAATATCAAATTCTGTGTCACTACTAAAAAATAATAGTCTCTGGTGCACTCTTAAGATTAAGAGAAAACGGACGACTCAGGAGTGCTGAAGTGAGAGAAAACGGACTCCTATGACGGGGCACTCAAATAAACATACACATAGCTGTATAATGCAATATTATGCAATATTAACCCCTAAATTGGTGTTTTAAGAAGGTATATCATAAATTATTTAATGTACTGTATTGTTTGTGTTTATAAATGTTTATTTTCATTAATAAAAGTGCTTGAATTACTTTTTTTGGGCCGAAAAAATTCCTTTGGCATGCATCTCCAGTTTTATAATGGAAGTCAATGGGAAAATAGGTTTCGCGTTACGGAATTTCGCGATACGGTCAATTTTCCGGGAACGGAACCCTTCCGTAACGCAGGGGATGCCTGTAGTTTTTTTTACTGAGCTGTTGCAGTATCATAAACAATAAGACTTAGCTATTGGAGGTGTTAATTAATTATTTTGATTGCAAAAATTTTGTAATAGGCAGTGTCAGACTTATTCTCAAATTTGAAGGTAAGATGTCCCCCCCCCCCTCCCCCCCATGAGGCCACACATTTAGTACAGTATATAATAGTGTTTATAGCACAGGGGCCCCCCCATATTCGTGGGGATTAGGTTCTCAAAATGGCCGCGAATCGCCAAATCCACGAATATTATTTGCGGACTGGGGGGGGGGTACATTTTTTACTTGTGCACAAAGAAATGTATATTCCCTTTATGTTTTTGCCCTTACCACAATTATTTATTTACCTGTATTGTATATACAATATGTTGTATGTGTAGACACACACACACAAAACACATACAAATAAATAATAATTGGAAAATACTCTCACAAATAATCAGAAACAAATTTATTAAAAATGTGACAGTCTACCCTCAAGTTAGTGCATTATTAAAAAGTAATAAAGCACAGACTTGAGGGTAGACTGTCATATTTTTAATAAATTTATTTCTGATTATTTGTGAGAGGATTTTCCAATTACTAATTATTTGTATGTGTTTTGTGTGTGTGTCTACACACACATACACATACACACACATCCTTGACCACCGAAGGGTCAAGACGTACCTGGCGCTCCTCTCGGAGCAGCCAGGTCAACTGTTACGTTGGCCCATACCAACTCCCTCCCCTGAACCCTCCTCCCCACCGGAATATCAAGTTCTCGCCAGAAGTTATTATTTCATTTAGGAAAGGAATGGAACCAGTGTTAAACAGAGGTGAACAGTGGTGAACAGTGCTTAAGTCAGTGAGAACAACTCAACAGTAACAGTCATACCCAAGTTAACCTTCACACAGTGAGGTCCCAGGTACCCAGTGATAACGGCCCGTGAGACCCAACAACCAGCGATGTGTTAATCCGTCTACGATAGGAAGGCCTGGGACCACACCTCACTCATATAACACCATCTGTGAGGGAATTACTACACCACGTGTCCCTCATAACACCATCTGTGAGGAATTACTACACCACGTGAGGCCCCTCATAACACCATCTGTGAGGGAATTACTACACCACGTGAGGTCCCTCATAACACCATCTGTGAGGGAATTACTACACCACGTGAGGCCCCTCATAACACCATCTGTGAGGGAATAACTACACCACGTGAGGCCCCTCATAACACCATCAGTGAGGGCACTACTACACCACGTGAGGTCCCTCCTAACACCATCTGGGAGGGAGTTACTACACTACGTGTTTGCTGTTCAACACCTACAATAATCTGTATGTTCACTGTATGTTCCTTTACCTTTCTCTAATGAAGGCTTTTGTTAAACCACCAATGTATGTACAGTAATAAGTCATTTATGTCCAATGTATATTTTCAGCCTTCGGGCTGCAGAACTTTTTCAATAAACCGTCAATTATTATTATTATTATTATTTACAATACAGGTAAAGCAAATTACTGTCTCTAGAATGAATGACTCCCTGTCTCAGCCTCGAAAATGCCGACAACTTTAAAACTACAGTAGAACCTCGATATAACAAGAGATAGGTTCCAAGAGTGGTCGCTTTAAACCGAATTTGCACTGAATCAAAGTGTTGTTTCAATGGAATAATTTAGTTTGGTACTTGAGAGAAACACAAAATACTAAAAAGACTGAGAGTCTACCCAGATGCACCTCAGCCCATCTCCTAGAATAAACAAAACATTGTTTTTTGTAGTATTATGTTAAAACAAACACTCATAAATCAACACAGCTAAAACAATGGGACGTGAAATGGTCTGCTTACTAGCGAACAGCTGATGGGAAGATGGGGGGGGGGGAGGTGAGGTGATATGTTTGACAGTTGATGCCAAGGTCAAGTGCTTATAAATTTATAATAATAATAATAATTAACGGTTCATTGAAAAAAAAAAAAAAATTCTGCAGCCCGAAGGCTGAAAATATACATTGGACATAAATGACTTATTACATACATTGGTGGTTTAACAAAAGCCTTCATTAGAGAAAGGTAAAGGAACATACAGTGAACACACAGATTAATGTAGGTGTTGAACAGCAAACTCGTAGAGCACAGATGAGACACGTAATTAGTAATACCTCACAGATGACAGATGGTGTTATGAGTATGAAAGAATCACGTGGTGTAGTAATTCCCTCACAGATGGTGTGATGAGGGACTTGATGTGGTGTAGTAATTCCCTCACATATGGTGTTATGAGGGACATGTGGTGTAGTAATTCCCTCACAGATGATGTTATATGAGTGAGGTTTGGTCTTAGGCCTTCCTATCGTAGACGGATTAACACATCGTTGGTTGTTGTTGGGTCTCACGGGCCGTTATCACTGGGTACCTGGGACCTCACTGTGTGAAGGTTAACTTGGGTACGACTGTTACTGTTGAGTTGTTCTCACTGACTTAAGCACTGTTCACCTCTGTTTAACACTGGTTCCGTTCCTTTCCTAAATGAAATTGTAACTTCTGGCGAGAACTTGTTGATATTCCGGTGGGGAGGAGGGTTCAGGGGAGGGGGTTGGTATGGGCTAACTTAACAGTTGACCTGGCTGCTCCGAGAGGAGCGCCAGGTACGTCTTGACCCTTCGGTGGTCAAGGATGTCCTTAAGAGTGACTTTAAGTTTTCTCTAATAAAATGTCACTGAACTAACATGGGAGAATATTATTAACATTGCTGGAATTCTTATAAGATAGTGATTAGTTTGAATATATACATGCTATAGTTGGCATTAGGCATACAAATTTTAGTTCTAATTAATTTTATTACAAATGGCAAAATTTTTTATCTCTTGTGCAAAATATATGACGTTTATATTAAAATTATTCGCTGTTTTGCAAGGATTCTAGCAATGCAAATTGTATTCTCTTAACTTAAGTCTGTGATAATATATAAGATAAAAACTGTAAGCCTATAACCACCCAACCCTGGCTGGGAAGATGGGGAGGTGACAGTGACACGTTTGACAGTTGGGGGCCAAAGGTCTGGTGAATTATTTATTTGCTTATTTATGTCCTTTAGCTTTAGATTGAGTTTTGGTTTTTTGTTTATAAAATGTCATAGAAGTGACTGGGGAGAATATAATTTACATTGCTGGAATTCTTATAAGATAGTGATTAATTTGAATATAAACATGCTATAGTTTGCACTAGACAAAAATTGTAGTAATCATTTAGTACATTATTTTGATTACATATACAACACAGCTTTGCCCTTAGGACAATGTAGCGTCCCCAGAGAAACGTTCGGAATTTTAAAATATGATGTGCCAAACTGACTGACGCAAAATAGGAAGGATTCACTTTAAATTAAAACGTTGTCCTTAAATGTGGGTGTCGCTTTAAATCAATAATCTTAAATTGAATCACTTTAAATCGACATTCTACTGTACCCACTTTCATTCTTGGGTACATCCAGGGTTTCATCCGCGAATAACAGAGAACCGCAAAATAAAAATCGCGAACTTGGGGGGGAGGGGGGGCTGTACTGTAGAACTATTGGGGAGGGCTTTGGTACTCCACTGAAGCAGTTAACACCTTTGGTGTATTTTTCTTTCTTTCTATTCTTCTATGGCTCAGCTGAGTACAGTACACCTAGACCCCGACTTACGACTACGTGGACTTACGACCGTCGGGACTTACGACCGCTGCAGATTTTTTTTTTTTTTTTTATTTTTTTTTTTAAATGACACGCATTTTCTATGCCGAAACGTTTCCAGTTAATGTAGTCTCCATGTATAATTAGACAATTATGGGGGCCCCATGTGCATTCAGCTGACTACATTAAAGGTTAAGTGCTCAGTCACACTGTATCCATTCCTTATTATTTATTACTTTCACTGTACTGTATCCATTCATCATTATTCATTACTTTTACTGTACTGTATTTCATTGTAGATTTTTTATTAAATTTTTTTTTTTTTTTTTTTTTTTATCTATGTTGGACTTACGACCTGGATTTGGGTCCCTAACCCCGTCGTAAGTCGGGGTCTAGGTGTACTTCATAGGATTCACTGTTTTCTCAAAAATCTGTCATAACTGATTCATTGCCATAATAAATTACAGTATACTCTCGATTTAACGGAATCCGATATAACGAACTCAAGATTTAGCAGAAGGAATTTTTTCTGTTATTTTTTACTTGATTTGGTGAACTAGTTCGCTAAATTGAGATTAATTCCGTTAATGTACTCACACCTACGGAGACACCTCAGACACATGATATGTATGTACATAAAAACATTAGAAACCTTATTCATGGCTTACCCTAAACTAGGGGGCTCGGTGTTTGTTTTAAATTTTTATCTATTATTTCCAAACCTTTTTTCCAATTGATAACTGCACTTTTTTGACTTTGTTCCCCACACCACTTCCTTTCTGAGACTTCTGATAGACTTTCTGCATGATGTCTAAGCACTGTACTGTAGTTAGTTGATTGTGAGGTAGCAGTGAACAACACACACTGAGGCGGCAGGATACAGACTGAGCTGATGTACACAAAACCCACTCGCCAAGTGGCGCATTTGGCGCTGAATTTAACTAGTTTGCTAAATTGAGCGAAAGTAATGAAAATTCGATTTAGCGGAAATTTCAATTTAATGGAAAGGGGTGGCTCGTATTAGTTTGTTAAATTGAAAAAATACTGTACGAGTACATTATTTTAGAAAGCTGTAGGAAAGTAAAGCATTATTTTTGAGGATGAAGTCCAAAGAATAATTAGGAGACACAGTGAGACATAGATGCAGGTAAGGTGTTTGAATTGAGTTCCTGTGGTCAAGCTTATTCAAGTTAGAGAGCAGCACCAGATGTTAAGATGAGAACAAGCATTTATTAGGCTACTTGATTTCCATATTTCAAGAAGAATTTTGTTTAATTTATTTATTTACTATGTATTTTGAAGGAGCCTATCAACCATCCATGTGTGAAGATGCAGCTATTGTAACCCGTATTGGCACCATCTTTCTGGGCGGGCCACCCCTGGTGAAGGCAGCCACTGGAGAAGAAATTACTGCAGAAGATCTAGGTGGAGCCACAGTACATTGCAGGTACTATATTAGGAAGTACTACAGGTATATTATGATATTCATAATGGTATGATATTATGGCTATACAGTACTGTACTTATAGTCTGTTCACTTGAGGCTTACAACTGAGCCCTGGGGTCAGTTTGTAGCAAGGCAGCTGATTGATTGGCAGACAGAGACCCAAAGAGTAACTACACTTCTTTAGTATTTAATCTGTCCTATTTATATTTTGATATTGATCTCTGATAATTCCTGCACTTGGGGAAGCAAAAAGTAGCATGTGAAACACTCTCGTAATAAAAACAACATAAAGTTGAACAAATTCTGGGACATAAACTCCTCCTCACCCCTTAATGTCATGCAACAAGGTGGAGGATGTCATTAAAATGTTGTACTCTTTCTTGTACTCGTCAAGATACTGTATATAGTAGTAAAGTTCATAAAAAAAAAATATATATATATATATCTTGATAAAATCACACGGAGGTACTCCGTTGTTTCCATCTTCCCGTGTGATTTTATCAAGATTTATCTTATCCACGTTTTCATTGTGGATTTACATGATATATATATATATATATATATATATATATATATATATATATATATATATATATATATATATATATATATATATATATATATATATATATATATATATATATATATATATATATATATATATATATATATATATATATATAACCTTATTTATTATTAACATACTGTATATACTGTATTGTCTTCAATGGGGATACTGTACATTGGTCTAATCAGATATGATACAGGCCTAATGAGAGCTAATGGGTACGTGATATGACACCATGTGCAAACATGCTGGAAGTGGGCGGGGGTGGGACTGGCTGTCGCTGCATTTTCCAGTTTGTTTTATTTATTCATTATTACATTCTAGTATGATCAGCCGCTTATGGTGTAATATAAAACATTAAATAATAGAAAAAATATGATTTTAATTTGTAATTTGATTTCAAAATAATGGAGAGAGAGAGAGAGTTAGTTTTATATATGCAATGCGTGCTTGTCTCCTGCGCTCTTCCCGGGAGGATTGCCATTATCATTGTTTGAATTATTTTACTTAAAATCTTACCAATTTTCTGTGGGTGAATGTGTGTTGAACTAAAAGCTAACCAATCACAGTGCAGTATTTTGGGCAAATCCATCCCAAGAGGTGGGGGGGGGGGATAAACTGGGTTTAAGATACAAGAAGACATTATGAAAATCCATACTAAACTTTCCTCAAGGTCTGTCAACTCATATTGCGGAAATTCAGAAGGATGTCTTTTTTGCACCTATGGAGAAAGTTATTTTTAGATGGGGGGAGCAGCTTAGGATCTTGGGATGAAACCGTTTTTTTTTCCCCATAAGGTAGTTGACTTACGGCACTTATTGTGGAATTGTTTATCACGACACTTTTTTCGTTCCAAATCCCTGCGAATATCGACTACAGTATAGATGTACAGTATATTATTACTTGGGTCATATCTTACACAAGTTAGGAATGTAATTAATAAGTCAGAATTCACAGTAATAATGTCTGTTCACTTAAACTTCTCAAGGACTGTAGTGAGTTTTAATTTTCTGAACAACAACAGTGAACTTATACACGACTCCACTGAACTTGGCTATAAGTTATGAGGCAGGAATTAACTCATCTTCACACAACTAAATGTCACCTTCAATATTGTACTCAAGGAACACCCAGTACTGTACTCACAATAATTGGTACTTAGGTTACAGAGACCAGTTTTCAGTAAGAAATGTTTATTATCTTTATGTTTTTAACCTTATGATATTTATTTTGTTTTCTTCACAGTCTGTTTGAACGATTATATGTGATTATATGTGCGTGTAACAGAGTAAAAGAAAATGATGGAAATTACATATACTGTACAGTGGTACCCCGATTTACTCGGTCAATTGAACCCACAGGGTACCGCGGAAAGTGAAAACCGCGTAAAGTGAACAACAGAACATATGGGATTAATTCCAATAGAGACTGGCCCGACCCCCAAACTCCACTTCTTCCGACAATACCTATGTTGTAGTAAAAATAACATCTAAATTTTATGATGGTATGCTCACACAATTAATATTTAAGAGAAATACAGTCGCCAGGTTAATGTCCATTCAAATAATGGACTCAACTCCCCCTCTTCCCACCTCACTAGCTCCTACCTCTCTGAGAAATGATTGGGTGAAAACACTCCTTTTTAATTTTTAGTAATAAATAATACCTCAGACTAAAGTTAGGATAATATAATTGACATTTCTGGATTCCTTGCAGGTCAGGGAATATTTTGAATGTAAACTTCATATATTTTGCACAAAAGATAAAATATTTGCTTTGTGTAAACCAAATTATTACATTAGATCTAAAATTTGTATGTCGAATGCAAAATCCATGATGTTTATATTCAAAATGATCATCATATTGTAAGAATTCCAGCAATGTAAATTATATTCTGGCCGGGTAATTTGTATGAATTTTATGAGCTAAAACAAATATCTTCAGTTAATAAAAAAAAAAAACATTCTTCAGGACACTATCTGTCAAAGTACCCCACCTTGCCTCCCCCCCCTACACTCACGGCAGCTGGGTCGGTCGGCCCCAACCCTACCCCCCACCTTCCCTCCCTACCAGAAAAATGTTGGGTGAAAAAACTAGATTTTAACTTTTAGTAATAAATAATACCTCAGACTAAAGTTAGGATAATATAATTGACATTTCTGGATTCCTTGCAGGTCAGGGAATATTTTGAATGTAAACTTCATATATTTTGGAATAAGTTTAGGGAGTTGCTTCCTATATTGACTGCAAAAGGACCTTCTCTTTGTGTGAGAGGAAATATGTATGTAACTGGTGTGAGAATTGTGAAACATGGGCAGTAAAGAGGACGACATATGGAGGCTTGAGTAAGCTGATGTGAGAATTGTGAGGTGGAAGTGTAATGTGACACTGAAAGATAGGAAACCCTGTTCAGAGCTGAGAGAGCAGCTGGGTATTTAGAGTATTAACAAGGTTTTGCATAGAGATGATTTGGGCATGTCGTAAGAATGAAGGTAACCGATTGGGTCTAAATATGGAGGGGAGGGGAACTAGAGGTGGCCAAGAATAACATGGGGAGTGGCTGTATGAAATAACCTCAGTTTTAAGAACCTGATGAGTAAGTCCGCAAGAGATGCACTACATGAAGAGTTGCCATCAGGTAATCAAGGCTAATCCATGCAAGCATGGAAAATTATCGTAAAAGAATGAAGATGATGATAAAAATGCTCTTGTCATATTGGTTTTCTGCACACAAACCAAGATCCAAATTTTTGAAGAATTATGTGGCAATTTTTTTTTACTTATAACTGGGGATAGAAGAACACATCAAGTCACAGTCATCTATTTTGGCCACTCTTCTGTAACTGAATAAGCCAGTTATATGTATTTGTACATTTCCAGTTAGGGGATATAATAAACATACAATAGGTATTGGAAGTACTGCATTGTTTTTTGCAGTTTACCTTGTCTGAAGAATTTATTTGGTCGTTTGCTTTCATGTGATATTCTTTAATTTTCTATAGTGTCAGTGGTGTTACTGATTACTTTGCTGGCACAGAAGAAGAAGGTTTTGACATTGTGCGTGACATTGTTGCCACACTTAACATTGACCCCCTCTCTCCTACATTGTTGGACTCGGAAGAACCTCTGTTGAAGCCTGACTTATTAGATGGTAAGTCTTTGTTCTCTTATATCTTTTAATAATACTTTATTGGTGTTTAACTCAGATTTTTGTCTCGCATATATGTTGTACAGTCCCAAGTTTTGACAAATACATCGCAGAAAAGTTAAGCCATCCAATGCATGCATCTTTGTACCTCGTAAACAGTTGGCAAGTCTGTTGAACATTGGAAAGGGATGACCAGTTACACTATTTACATAAATTACTTACTTTCTCTGATGCTCATTCATCATTGGGTATACTGTATGTGTCTGTATTCCATAACTAGAATACAGGCATCCCCCGCTTTACGGAAGGGTTCTGTTCCCAGAAAATTGACCGTAACGCGAAACCTATTTTCCCATTGACTTTCATTATAAAACTGAAGATGCGTTCCTAAGGAATTTTTTCGGCCCCAAAAAAGTAATTCAAGCACTTTTATTAATGAAAATAAACATTTATAAACACATTCAATACAGTACATTAAATAATTTATGATATACCTTCTTAAAACACCAAGTTTAATATCCAATGTAATACCTTTGCGGCTTGTTTTTGCACTACTACGGTCACTTTCACTTGATGGCCTCTTTCCAGTCATCTTGAATAAGGGTAATGCACTATACTGTACTTACTGTATGTTTGTAAAAGTTAAATCCAACTGCTGGGGCGAGAAACATGCGTGCACACTGGATGTAAACACTGACTCCTCGTGGTGATGCCACGCTTGGCGGTAGCAAACACCAAGAAATCCACACCAAACAAATTATAATTTTTAACAACAAATTATAATTTTATATTGTGATTTTTTTTAAATTGTTAAAATTTACCCCAATTTCCGTAAGAGCGGATTTATGGGCCGTAACGCGAAATTATTGGTCATAATTTACAAATTCCGTAAGAGCGAAATTCCGTAACCCGGGCTTCCGTAACGCGGGGGATGCCTGTACAGTAGTAAGTCCATTATTTCAAACCATAATTCATTGAACAACTCGAAGTGTATATCTATTCAGACATGTCAACTGACCAGATGTAGTCACGGTTGCACTTTCAGTGTAATGGGCTGTAATCTTCCAGGTTTCATTATTCTTCGGCCAAAGTGGAGAAGATACCTGTTTTTTAGACTGTACACTTTGCTATTTGATACACATTTTCAAACAGATTTCCTCATAGAGTCTTACCATAGTTTCTCTCTCTCCAGTTTCCATGTAATCTTTCATCCCAGATTTGTACTAGTCATAGAAGTATCCTTGGTGTCCTCTTTAAAACCCTTTATATTTCTCTCTTTCAGCTTTGAGCGGTATAGATTCTATTGATCGGAAGAAATTGTATGCAGTAATTGGGAGGATCGTGGATGGTGGAAGATTTCGGGAATTTAAACAGCAGTATGGAAGTAACCTCACTACAGGATATGCTTTTGTTGAAGGGTAAGAATACAGTACAGTACTGTATATTCTTAAAGTGAATTCCAGGCTCTTCCTGGGATTTGTTAAATATGAATAAAAACTTTATGAAATGCTTTGGCATAAAAATGCCTTTTGTCACTTGGCATGTACTGTATATATCTTCATTAATTTATATTAACACCATCAGTACTGAACAAGTCAGGCAGAGTTGTCTTAGTATTGTTACAAGTCAAAAATTAGTTTCAGCATCTTTACTCATATTAAATCCATATGAAAATGGGACAATATATTGCATTTTAAAGTTATGCTAAAATATTAATATGGTATTAATCTAAGACACACACACCCTGCTCATCATAGTGTAATGGTAACTGACCACATGTACTGCCATCTGTGTGGTTTCTTGCCAATTCAGACAGTTGTCTAGCCATATTCATTTAAAACTTATTTTACATGAAAGAATAAATTATTAATTACTGTATTATAATTTATTGGTATTACAGGTATTCAAATAAATGTTCTTTATTTAAGTAACTCTGTTACAATTACCATTTATAAATGGAATTTGAATTTTATATTATATATACTTTATTGAAAATGAAATAGTTCAAGTGGGTTCCCAAGGACTTTTTTCTGGCCTGCTGGGGTCACAGGGTACAGCAGCAGCTGTTCATCAGTGCTAACCCCCAATTTATGGATGAACCAGGGGAGCTCATATCCCTAGTTTTAAAGGTTTATTTTATTTTTTAGCATAGTTTAATTGCACAAATGGAGGGTTCCTAGGAACCCTAGGGTTAAACCCACAGAATTTTTGATGCAGTAAATAAGGTCATCATAAAATGGGATTTTGAGGTCATTCTTATGTTCTGTACAGGAAACCCTTGACATAATGGACACCGTCTGTAATGGACCTCGGCTTTAACGAACCCTCTGACCCGTTTGGACTAGGTTCATATATTATGAACTCAGGTCCACTAAAGTAAAAAAATATCTGACCTTTTGTATCCAAATTATCATAAATAATTACAGTAATACCCCATTTAGCCCAACCCTGCATAACACTGATTCATTATAGGGCTCTTAGATCCTCTCTTGGAGTTATTTTTTACTAGAAGAATAAAAGATGAAAATCCATAATACAAGGCAGAAGTTACAAGTCAACACTCAGGACTCGCTGCCACCTGCCATGCTTGTTTACAGTCTTTCTGCCACTAAGAGTGACATACCCATGTACTCTTGCAGCCAATCAGAGCTCTCCTCCTCGTGTAAAAATTATTCCCGGTAGCATTCAATTTACTTGACATGCTCGCTTTTTATGTGACTGCTTTCCATATTATAGTGAATATTTTTTACCCAAGTTATTTTTTACAAGATTTTTTTTTTTTATGAAAATTCATCATACATACAAGTCAGCTGTTCACTTGTGCCTGGCAGTGCAGCAGTCATATTATTCATCATTCACCCACCAACACTCACCATCTCCACTAACAACCCACACTCACTAGTCACCACCACCAACACTCACCACCACCAACTGGTGTTTACAGAATGGAACGCATTCAAACTGGGGTGAGGAGAGTGGTGGCCAGCGGGCTAGCAGATTAAACAAAGTTACTTTAGCAGCTCTTAGATGTTAATAACACGCACTGTACAGTACTGATTGGTGGTAAGTGGTAGGGGTGTTACCGGTGGTGTTGGTGATGGTGAGTGATGGTGATGGTGAGTGGTGGTGAGTGGTGGTGGTGATGGTGAGTGTTGGTGGTGATGATGAGTTGTGGTGAGTGTTGGTGGTGATGATGAGTTATGGTGAGTGGTGATGGTGAGTTGTGGTGAGTGTTGGTGGTGATGGTGGTGAGTGGTGGTGAATGTTGGTGGTGATGGTAAGTGTTGGTGGGGATGGTGAGTGTTGGTGGTGATGATGAGTTGTGGTGAGTGATGAGTTGTGGTGAGTGTTGGTGGGTGATGATGAGTGTTTGTGGTGATGGTGAGTGTTTGTGGTGATGGTGAGTGTTAGTGGTGATGGTGAGTGTTGGTGGTGATGGTGAGTTGTGGTGAGTGTGGTGGTGATGGTGGTGGTGGTGGTGGTGATGGTGGTGGTGGTGATGGTGATGGGTGGTGATGGGTTGGTGATGGGTGAGTGTTGGTGGTGAGTAAGTGTTGTTGGTGATGAGGTGTTGGTGGTGATGAGTGGTGGTGGTGATGGGTGTTGGTGGTGATGGTGATGGAGTGTTGGTGGTGATGATGAGTGTTGGTGGTGGAGTGTTGGTGGTGATGGTGGTGTTGGTGGTGATGGTGGAGTGTTGGTGTGGGTGAGTGTTGGTGGTGATGGTGGGTGTTGGTGGTGATGGTGAGTGTTGGTGGTAATGGTGAGTGTTGGTGGTGATGGTGAGTGTTGGTGGTGATGATGAGTGTTGGTTGTGATGATGAGTGTTGGTGGTGATGGTAGAGTGTTGGTGGTGATGGTGGTGATGATGGTGTTGGTGGTGATGGTAAGGTGTTGGTGGTGATGATGGGTGTTGGTGGTGATGATGGTGTTGGTGGTGATGGTGGTGTTGGTGGTGATGATGATTGTTGGTGGTGGTGGGTGTTGGTGGTGATGGGTGTTGGTGGTGATGATGAGTGTTGGTGGTGATGGTGAGGTGTTGGTGGTGATGGTGGTGTTGGTGGTGATGGTGAGTGTTGGTGGTGATGGTGAGTGTTGGTGGTGATGATGGGTGTTGGTGGTGTGATGGTGAGTGTTGGTGGTGAGTGTTGGTGGTGGTGGGTTGTGGTGGTGTTGGGTGGTGATGATGGTGGTGGTGGTGATGGTGGGTGTTGGCGATGATGAGTGTTGGTGGTGATGGTGGTTGTGGTGAGTGTTGGTGGTGATGGTGTTGGTGGGGTGATGGTGGTGTTGGTGGTGGTAGAGTGTTGTTGGTGATGGTGGTGTTGGTGGTGGGTGGGTGTTGGTGGTGGTGGTGGTGTTGGTGGTGATGGTGAGGTGGTGGTGATGGTGAGTGTTGGTGGTGATGGTGAGTGTTGGTGGTGATGATGAGTGTTGGTGGTGATGGTAAGTGTTGGTGGTGATGGGTGTTGGTGGTGATGGTGGTGTTGGTGGTGGTGGTGAGGTGTTGGTGGTGATGGTGGTGTTGGTGGTGATGGTGAGGTGTTGGTGGTGATGGTGGTGGTGGGTGTTGGTGGTGATGATAAGTGTTGGTGGTGATGGTGAGTGTTGTTGGTGATGGTGGGTGTTGGTGGGTGGGTGTTGGTGGTGATGGTGGGTGTTGGTGGTGATGATGAGTGTTGGTGGTGATTGAGTGTTGGTGGTGGGTGGTGAGTGTTGTTGGTGGTGATGGTGAGTGTTGGTGGTGATGGTGAGTGTTGGTGGTGATGATGAGGTGTTGGTGGTGATGAGGTGGTGATGGTGAGTGTTGGTGGTGATGGTAAGTGTTGGTGGTGATGGTGAGGTGTTGGTGGTGATGATGGTGTTGGTGGTGATGGTGAGTGTTGGTGGTGAGCTGGGTGAGTGTTGGTGGTGATGGTGGGCTGTGGTGAGGTGTTGGTGGTGATGGTGGGTGTTGGTGTTGATGGTGAGTTGTGGTGAGTGTTGGTGGTGATGGTGAGTGTTGGTGGTGATGATGAGTGTTGGTGGTGATGGTGGTGGTGGTGATGATGGTGTTGGTGGTGATGGTGGTGTTGGTGGTGATGATTAGTGTTGGTGATGGTGGTGGTGATGGTGTGGTGTTGGTGGTGATGGTGGTGGTTGTGTGTTGGTGGTGATGGTGAGGGTTGGTGGTGATGATGGTGTTGGTGGTGATGGTGGGTGTTGGTGGTGATGGTGGGGTGTTGGTGGTGGGTGTTGGTGGGTGATGATGGTGGTGATGATGGTGTTGGTGGTGATGGGAGTGTTGGTGGTGATGAGTGTTGGTGGTGGTGATGGTAGGAGTGTTGGTGGTGATGATGGGTGGTGGGTGATATGAGTGTTGGTGGTGATGATGAGTGTTGGTGGTGATGGTAAGTGTTGGTGGTGATGATGAGTGTTGGTGGTGATGTGAGTGTTGGTGGTGATGGTAGGGTGTTGGTGGTGATGGTGAGTGTTGGTGGTGGTGAGGTGATGGTGAGGTGTTGGTGGTGATGGTAGGGTGTTGGTGGTGATGGTGAGTGTTGGTGGTGATGGTGGTGTTGGTGGTGATGATGGTGTTGGTGGTGATGAGTGAGTTGTGGTGAGTGTTGGTGGTGATGATGAGTGTTGGTGGTGATGGTGGGTGTTGGTGGTGATGGGTGAGGCTGTGGTGGTGTTGGTGGTGATGGTGAGTGTTGGTGGTGATGGTGAGTTGTGGTGAGTGTTGGTGGTGATGATGAGTGTTGGTGGTGATGGTGAGTTGTGGTGAGTGTTGGTGGTGATGGTGGTGTTGGTGGTGATGATGGTGGTGGTGGTGGTGGTGGTGGTGATGGTGAGTGTTGGTGGTGATGGTGAGGTGTTGGTGGTGATGGTGGAGTTGTGTTGGTGGTGATGGTGGTGTTGATGGTGGTGATGGGTGTTGTTGGTGATGGTGAGTGTTGGTGGTGATGGTGGGTGTTGGTGATGGTGGAGTGTTGGTGGTGATGAGTGTTGGTGGTGATGGTGAGTGTTGGTGGTGATGGTGAGTTGTGTTGGTGGGTGATGGTGAGTGTTGGTGGTGATGGTGAGTTGGGTGGTGATGATGGTGTTGGTGGTGATGGTAAGTGTTGGTGGTGATGGTGAGTGTTGGTGGTGATGATGAGTGTTGGTGGTGATGATGAGTGTTAGGTGGTGATGGTGATGGTGGTGGTGATGAGTGATGGTGAGTGGTTGTGGTGATGATGGTGGTGGTGGTGATGATGAGTGTTGGTGGTGATGGTGGTGTTGGTGGTGTGGTGAGTTGTGGTGAGTGTTGGTGTTGATGGTGGGTGTTGGTTATTGATGGTAAGTGTTGGTGGTGGGTGTTGGTGGTGATGAGTGTTGGTGGTGATGAGTGGTGATGGTGAGGTGTTGGTGGTGATGGTGAGTGTTGGTGGTGATGATGAGTGGTGATGGTGAGGTGTTGGTGGTGATGGTAAGTGTTGGTGGTGATGATGAGTGGTGATGGTGGTGTTGGTGGTGATGGTGAGTGTTGGTGATGATGGTGAGTGTTGGTGGTGATGGTAGAGTGTTGGTGGTGATGGTGAGTGTTGGTGGTGATGATGAGTGGTGATGGTGAGTGTTGGTGGTGATGGTGAGTGTTGGTGGTGATGGTAGAGTGTTGGTGGTGATGATGGTGGTGGTGGGTGATGGTAGTGTTGGTGGTGATGGTGAGTGTTGGTGGTGATGATGAGTGTTGGTGGTGATGGTGAGTGTTGGTGGTGATGAGTGTTGGTGGTGATGGTGAGTGTTGGTGGTGATGGTGAGTGTTGGTGGTGATGGTGAGTGGTGGGTGGTGATGGTGAGGTGTTTGTGGTGATGATGGTGGTGATGGTGAGTGTTGGTGGTGATGGTGAGTGTTGGTGGTGATGATGGTGGTGATGGTGAGGTGTTGGTGGTGATGGTGAGTGTTGGTGGTGATGGTGAGTGGTGTGATGGTGAGTGTTGGTGGTAAGTGTTGGTGATTGTGAGTTGTGGTGGTGTTGGTGGTGATGGTGGTGTTGGTGGTGATGGTAAGTGTTGGTGGTGATGGTGGAGTGGTGGTGGTGATGGTGAGTTGGTAGAGTGTTGGTGGTGATGGTGAGGTGTTGGTGGTGATGATGAGTGTTGGTGGTGATGGTGAGTGTTGGTGGTGATGGTAAGTGTTGGTGGTGATGTGGTGGTGGTGGTGGTGATGGTGGTTGTGGTGAGTGTTGGGTGATGATGGTGTTGGTGTTGATGAGTGAGTGTTGGTGGTGATGGTAAGTGTTGGTGGTGATGGTGGAGTGTTGGTGGTGATGGTGAGTGTTGGTGGTGATGGTGAGTGATGGTGGTGAGGTGGTGGTGGTGGTGATGAGTGTTGGTGGTGATGGTGGTGTTGGTGGTGATGGTAAGTGTTGATGGTGATGAGTGATGGTGAGTGGTGGTGGTGAGTGTTGGTGGTGATGATGAGTGTTGGTGGTGAAAAGTGACCCACTTGGTCACATTAGACTATGTTAGTACAGTACAGTAAACCCTCGCACTTTCGGACAATTAGAGGGGAGAGGGTGTCTGGATGTGGCAGATGCTCGGATGAACTGGCAGAACGAATGTGTATTAACGATAATCATGATACAGTATGTATTGTACATGAACTTTATTGATATGGGTAATAATAATAGTACAGTAATAAATTAATAATAATAAAGGGGGGGACCACCTGTCCATAAAAGCTGAGTGTTCGTATCTTCTGACAAATGTACTAAATGTATAGAAACTACAAATAATGACATAAAAAACACCAAACTGTATTTTATGGCATGTAAGACACACAGCCATATAAGATGCACCCCCCGTTTTGCAATGAGGATTTAGGATATTTTTGTGTGTATTTTCCTCCTGTAGCCATAGTTTTCATAAAATAGTTTATTGTATACATAAATGTGGAGGAATAAATAAAAATAATACCAATAAATAAGTTACAACAAAAAATACTATTGCCAAACCAGTAAATAAAAGCCAAATGAAAGTTGAACACAGTTGCCATTTGCATATATATATATAATAACAAAGACCAGCTGGAATGCCTAATCCTTAGCAATGCTTCCCCAACTCCTACACTCTGCACTCTCCTCACATTACATGTTTGCCATAGGACAATTATTTCTTTTGCTTTTTCACAATGTGTACGGTATGTAACACATCTTGCCCATGGTGCCCACAGTTTCTCTGTGGATGTCGGTCACACTAGAATAACCTGTTATAGTGAATCCTTCTTTCCTCACACAGCCAAACTGTGGAATGCTCTGCCTTTTTCTGTGTTTCCATACTCATACAATCTGTCTCACTTTCAAAAGCTGGTTTTCTGGCATCTTCGTGGTGTAGATTAATATAACCTTTTTCTTTTCTATTATTTCTTTTCATTCTTATTTTTTTCACCCCTAGGCCCTGTTGTGGGTCAGTCAATCCGCGTCTGCTGGGCTAATTCTCAAAAAAAAAAGGATGGGGTGTGCATGTAACCGATTAAAAATAAATCAAGAAAGTTAAGTATATTGACCCAAATATACGAAAGGAAACAACCATAACACCTCACGGCTTGGCCCAGTAGACAATGGGCTAACTAGCTGTCACTTACATCCCTTACCTACTCCCATTGCCAGGCGTACGTATTGGAAAAATACATATCTTGTAATCTAATTCAAAAACAATGATGGGTGCAGTGATAAACAAATTATATAAACCATGCATTTTCCCATGATAACATAATAAGAAACATTGTATCATTACTAAAGTGAATGAATTAGTATTCCCACAAACAACAATTGCCTCTCCTTTTCCCACCTCTTCGGGCACCTGTGTCAAGCGTGCTGACATCTTAGTTATTTAAACTTACCTCCTTTTAAGTTTAATACAGCAATATATTGTATTACTAACCTTTTGGTGAGAGATGCTGGAATTTGGGTTTTGCCATGATTGTATAGTGGGACTCTTGACAGTTTAGTCGTCTTCACAGACAAGGGGTACTGTAATGTGTGACAATAGAGGTGACGGTGTGGGTGTAGACGAAGGGCTGGCTACAGATGAGGAGGGAGAAGTAGGGCGAGGTGTAGGAATCCTGCTGGGATTGATGGGGGTTTTAGGATGGAAAGAGGAGTCAATCTTAGTCTGCTTATTAGTCTCAAATTGAAGCTGCTTCCTGCATATCAAGTCCCTCAACTCATGAAGGTGGGAGTATTAATTTTGTAACTCAGGGTCATTTGTACTTGTACTGTATTGGCATGCAGATCTCGATAGCAGTGTCCAATCCTGTCCGAACAGCTGACAACCGAGCAAACAAGGTGATGTCTTTATCCTCATGGTCATCATTGTCCTCTTCAGGGGCTGTGCAGGAAGCTGCTATCTCCTCCTCAGTCATCAGCTGGAAGTTGGGATCACCCTTGTCACTGTGAAGCCATTCCAAGACATTTTCTTCAGTTATCATGTTCTCGCCAGTCTTCTTCAAATTGTGGTGGTAGTCAGCCACCTTAAATCCTTCAAAATCATTCACATGATCTACAGCTTGTAGTAATTTCTTCAGCGCTTGTGAAGGCCAGACCTTCACATCCTTCCATACTGCTGCCCAGTTAAAGATGGCTGCCTTGATGTCATACTTCCGGAGGTTCTGCAGTGCACTGGCCTCTTGTGTTCTCATCTTTATTGACTTCATCCTCCAACACGACTATGACTTCTTGCAAAAACTTCCTTCTATATATCCTCTTTGTTGCATTAATGATGCCTTGATCCACTGGCTGGATTAATGATGTTGTTAGTAGCAGGAAGGAAAATGCACCATATCATGCCATCATCCCTAACAATCTCATGGGCATCAGGATGAGATGGTGCATTATTAAGTAGAATGATAACCTTAACACGATTAGCAGGAATCTTCAAGATGTCAATCTGATAACAGCGTATCTCAGTGCAGGCGTGCTTAAAAAAGAGGTCTTTCAAGATAGCCGCTATAAACCAGGCTTTGGCACTGGCCTAATAATGGACAGGCAGCTGATCCATTATGTCCTTGATAGCACAAGGATGCTTAGCCTTTTCTACAATAACAGGAGTTAGGCGGTGCATGCCATCAGCATTGGCAGCACACATAACAGAGAAACGAACCTTATCCAGCTTCCTCCCACGTGTCAAGTGTTCCTTCGCCAGGGCTTGGGTATTCTCAGGTAATAATCTCCAAAACAGCCCCGTCTCATCTGCATTATACATCTGTGACAAAAGCAGGCCTTCTCGAGCAATCAGCTTAGTCAGCATCCGGCGAAAAGGCTCGATCTCCTCGGTTGGGGCACTTGCAGCTTCCCCACAAACCTTACGGTTGACAATCCCATGCCAAGGCATGTAGCTAACTTCTCTGCAGCCATTTGCATCTCAACACCACACTTAGCCACACCACTTGAACGCTGCTGTGAATACCATTTGAGCACAGCATCTTCCAGTCGTTGATCCTGTGCTACTCTCATCAGCTTGCTGTATTCAGCAGTCGTCTTAGAGGTTGAAGAATCACGACTATATTTCATTGCAAATGACTGTGGGGAACCCTTAACCTTCATATATCAGACACCGTTTGCTTAGCGACGCCATATTCGCTACAGCATCTCGCTACAGACCAACCACTCTCAAACTTCTGTAACAACTCCAGCTTCTTAGCTACAGTAAGCTGCATGCACTTCCTTTTGGGTGCCATCACTACAGAACAGTCACAAGGTACAAAAATTCAGGCACAAACAGTCACAAGGCACAACAAAAGGGCACGATCGAGAGGTAGCGAGATGGTGTGTAAGAGACCGAGATTACAAGCGAAACTGAGGGACACACACTAGTGCCGGGAGATGCGGACCGGGTTCGTTAGTAGCAGGGGAGTAAACACGGCATATGGACTGAGAGGAGACGGATAGGAATTTGCCATATCCAGACATCGGTCCGGACCAACCAAACCGGATCTGAGAGGTCTGGAAGTGCGAGGGTTTACTGTATAACAAACCGAGTCAGTTATTATTTCAGATCCGGATATAGCGGACTTTTGGCTTTAACGAACCGGCCTTACCCCTAATTAGTTCATTATATCTGGGGTTTACTATACTAAGAATCTGTGTTGCCAGTTTGCAGTGGATGTACAGTATAACACATCTGCAATAGTCAGACCAGCTCATGCAAATTATGCGAGTAGCTTTTAATAGGCTTTTATTTTACAGAAGATGTGTGGGAGTTATAGGTAATGCTGGGCCTCTGACATACAAGGATGGTCTTAAAGGTTCACATTTCATACAAATTTGTCAGCTGCGTAACTGCCACTAATATTTCTACAGGTGAATTTTTTTGGTGTGTGTGTCTGTACAGTATATTTATACATAAATATTTAAGTACCGATACAAACTTTCTTTTTTCTGAAAGTCTATAAACTGCAAAATCTGCTCCAATGGGATGGTCAGTGGAACCTCAACAAAAATTTAGATACATTAGAAATAGGCTAGAATTCCCAGAACACAATTCTGAGTGTGCTGGGTAGTGGTGACTATAGGGCACCTTGATGCTTTTTAAAGCCACCACTGTGCTCTTAGTGCTGCATATACCTGTCCCTCATACCCAGACTGCATTACAAGCATCTGCCTTCTGTTTGAATTGTTCATGCCCATAGCAAGACTTTGTAAACAAATTTGGATTTATTACAAAATGTTCTTTGCAGTGGTTTAATATATTTCCAGCAAAGAAAAATTCCACTGAGTGGTGGAGCTAAGTCTTAAGTCTACTTAATAAAACAATGGAAGCAAACCTGTGTTAAGCTTTAATTCAATCTTGGAAAAACTTGTCAAGATAAATGAAAGGATACTCAAAACCCACTGACAAGGTTAGTACAGTGCTAGATTTCATGGCTACCAGGTACACAAAGTGAAGGAAACAAGGACTGTATACCAAACTGGAGTACAACTTATATTTTCTCATAGGGTACAGTGATCATTTAGTCATGGGGTTGAATGACCACGTATCACCTAGAGTTGTAACTACAGTACCTCCAATAATGAGGAGTCTACCAGATAATACTTTTTATCATAGTTTAATTTTGTATTAAATTGACATTACCTGTACCTATTTAAATTTTATTTAGAAAATTTATCAAAACTTAGCCACCCATAACCTCTTTATAGTGGAAAATTTGAATTAACTCAATGGTCTAGGTCCCAAGGATTTTAACACAGTGCTCAGAATTAAAGATTCTTTTATCCTTTTTGTTGCAGAACTCAGGCCCTCTAGATGAGCATCAAACATTTACCAGAAGCTTGAGTAGAGAAGACTTACACCAAGCTATGAAAGGCAGGGCTGCTATGATAGCTGCTGTATCTTGTGTCACTGTACCAAAGATTACAGTTAATATTGGAAATTGTCATGGAGATGATAACTACACCATGGTATGTGTGTTTAGTTGCAAGAGTGAGTAGGTAAGATCTGGCATCACCCACCTTTTCAGATTTGTTTGAATACAACAGTGTCTATTTCCAGTTGCAGCTCACTCTGGGCTGTTATCCCCAGTAATACACTGCAGAGGGATTCTTAGGGACATGTTCTTTGTCATTACTCCCATTGCATCCCTGTGAATTGATAGTGATTTTGAAACATTGATATTAAAACAATTTATTTGGGCAGAAAAATACAGATACAGAGTGGACAAGAATCCTGTGACAATATTGATGTGGCTGAGTCAATTGAGAGCTTGACTTTTGTTGTGGTCTGTCCTTAGTCTGGTTTTTAGTGCACTAATGCATATTACTTCACTGGATGTAACTTCAGTTTTTATGACTTCTTTGTCCATTCTAGATTAGTCATTGAGTTTGTCAGTCTCCTGGCTTTACATCTACTAAAAATAATGCCTCTGGACAGATTAATTATTTTCTGTAATTAAAGTACAGTACCGTATATGGATATCATGAGAACCTAACAAATTACACTGATGATGAGAGTACTAGTGTTGAGGGCACTGCCCCTGACTATGAATTAAGCTAATCTAGTGTTACTGCACATTGTTAAGATCCACCTTTACTGTATTTATGTTCATGATATTCCTCATGTTGGTCATGATTAGTATAGTCTGTCCTATTATGAATACTTATATTCTCTTTTTTGGTGTTTCATGTCTGAGTGTAACTTCTTGTTTTAAACAGGGTGACAATTAATTTGAGGACATATTTGTTTCGTAGATTCAATTTTTTATTTGTATAGTATAACTTCAAGGATACCAAATATTTACAAGAACACAGTATGGAAATATTAGTAAAAATCCTATCACATGATCAGTGCATGACTGCTCACAGCTCATAGGAAAATTATCGTGGGTGATGTAATTATATAAACCTAATGTATATAACCCACATTTATAAAAGTATTACTGTCTGTAGACAGGGCCTAATGCATTAGAGAGAGAGTACGAGCTACTTTGTGAAGAGAGAGTACTAGCTTACTTGTGAAGAGAGAGAGAGAGAGTACTAGCTTACTTGTGAAGAGAGAGAGAGAGAGTACTAGCTACTTGTGAAGAGAGAGTACTATTTTACTTGGAAGAGAGAGAGAGTACTAGCTACTTGTGAAGAGAGAGAGAGAGAGTACTAGCTTACTTGTGAAGAGAAACTACTAGCTTACTTGTGAAGAGAGAGAGAGTACTAGCTACTTGTGAAGAGAGAGAGAGAGTACTAGCTATTTGTGAAGAGAGAGTACGAGCTTACTTGTGAAGAGAGAGTACTAGCTTACTTGTGAAGAGAGAGTACTAGCTTACTTGTGAAGAGAGAGTACTAGCTTACTTGTGAAGAGAGAGAGAGAGAGTACTAGCTTACTTGTGAAGAGAGAGTACTATTTTACTTGTGAAGAGAGAGAGAGTACTAGCTTACTTGTGAAGAGAGAGAGAGAGAGTACTAGCTTACTTGTGAAGAGAAACTACTAGCTTACTTGTGAAGAGAGAGAGAGTACTAGCTTACTTGTGAAGAGAGAGAGAGAGAGTACTAGCTTACTTGTGAAGAGAGAGTACTAGCTACTTGAAGAGAGAGAGTACTAGCTACTTGTGAAGAGAGAGTACTAGCTTACTTGTAATAGAGAGTACTATTTACTTCAGAAGAGAGAGAGAGTACTAGCTATTTGTGAAGAGAGAGAGAGTATTAGCTTACTTGTGAAGAGAGAGTACTAGCTTCAGGAAGAGAGAGTACTAGCTATTGTGAAGAGAGAGTACTAGCTTATTGTGAAGAGAGAGAGAGAAGTACTAGCTACTTGTGAAGAGAGAGTACTTTTTACTTGTGAAGAGAGAGAGAGTACTAGTTACTTGTGAAGAGAGAGAGAGAGTACTAGCTTACTTGTGAAGAGAAACTACTAGCTACTTGTGAAGAGAGAGTACTAGCTTACTTGTACTAGCTTACTTGTGAAGAGAGAGTACTAGCTTACTTGTGAAGAGAGAGAGAGTACTAGCTTACTTGTGAAGAGAGAGAGAGTACTAGCTTACTTGTGAAGAGAGAGTACTAGCTTACTTGTGAAGAGAGAGTACTAGCTTACTTGTGAAGAGAGAGTACTAGCTTACTTGTGAAGAGAGAGAGAGTACTAGCTTACTTGTGAAGAGAGGGAAAGGGTGTGTACTAGCTTACTTGTGGAGAGAGAGAGAGAGAGAGAGAGAGAGACCTTTTCCATTAATTTACCTTAACTGCTCTCACACCCTCATGTAGGCAGTTGCCATCGTTCAAGGAAAGAAGTTGCAAAGGAGTACTAGTAGTGGTGAGAAAAAGGTGGAGGGGGGGGGGTGTCTTGGCTGAGTGGCCCCCCACTATATACGCCACTGCATCCCAGTCTCTGTCTTCCCTTGACCCTCGACTTAGCCCAGTAATATTTGTTATCATCCCCTCATCTCTAAATATATGACCAAAATATCAAATTTTTCCTTTCCTGTACATTTCAAGTATTTCTCTTGAAGTTTTTGTTAATCTTAGTACTTCTTCATTAGTTTTCCAGTCAGTGTAGTTTATTCTTAGCATCCACCAATAACACCACATTTCAGAGGCCTCCAACCTCTTTCTGGTGTCTGCTGTAAGTGTCCACACTGCTGACCCATACATCATTCCTTGCCACATAAAGCCTTTCAGCAGCCTTTTTCTCAAATTAAAGTTAATGTCACTTTACATTAGGCCTTTTAGATTATTAAATGCTGTTTATGCTTGCCCTATTCTTGTTTTGATTTCTTCCATACAGCCACCATCACAACTAATGTTACTTCCCAAATACACAAAATTTACCACTAAGTTCCCTGTTGTCTACCATAATGTTTATTTTAGGATTTATTTCCAATTTGGAAACAACCATTACTTTAGTCTTTACAGCATTAACTCTTAAACCATATTTTTCACCTTTTCTACTAATCTGTTAACAAGTTTTTGTAATGCCTCTTCACTATCCATGATAGAGCGGTATCATCTGCATAAATTTGATATTACGCACAGTAATGCATGTAACTCACCAATATATCAAGGGTTCAAGCCTCAGCTCAGACACACATGAGAAGGGTGTTATCCAGTGTGACCCTCACTACCAAACACCACATATTTCCTGGTCTCTGGTTTCCTCCTGTACTATCACTGGATAAAGCACCCAAATGGCTAGTAAGCTGATGAGTGGCAAAAATGATTAAAAAAGAAAAAAGTGCAATGTTGGGATAGAACACAGCTTTATCTTACTCCCTGTCCATCTGTGAACCAATTAGTAAGCTTATTATTTACTAGCAGCCTCCTGTTGCCAGTAAACATTCTTTAAAATTCTAATCCTTCATTAATGCCTATTTTTTCCAAGATCTCATTAAATTTATTGTGATTTACCTTATGAATTTTTTTTTCATCAGAATCAAAGCAGATAAGCAAATTTTTTGTGACCCCAAAAGCTCTCTCACTAAAATTATCAGACCAAATACATGGGGTAGAGCTTTTGTAGTTCCTTTTCCCTTTCTAACTCCATTTTGCTCTTCAGATAACTCTCTTTTTATTCTAAACTTTATTATTATATTTAGAATTATGTTTAATAAAACTTTGTAGGCATGGCTTATAAAGTTTATTGTTCTAAACTGTGTGCACTCTAAGGCTCCTGGCTTTTTAGGTAATAATACATTTGAATGGAAATTATATACCTGACAAGTAATTTTTTAGAAATGGAGAAGTTAAATTTTCACTAATATTTCCATACTGTGTTCTTCTAAATATTTGGTATCCTCAAAGTTATACTATTCAAATAAAATGCTAAATCAACAAAACAAATGTGTCCATGATTTAATTGTCACCCTGTATAAGTGTTGGGTTAAGTCCAATTATAATACAAACTTTTTTAGTTAAGATTCTTTGTGAATATTAATGTATTTTATGGTACTAGTGTGAAATTGGGTTTAATATAAGAGTAATATCATATCTTTATGTGAAGGGCAGAGCGATGTTCTTTTGTTTCGCTTATTTCCTTCCACCGTGTCTGAAGTGATGGGCTCTCTCTCTCTCCTACCCTCTTAGATGATAGATGTCTTTGTTGGGACTGCTATCCCATCCAGTGTATCCTCTTGTGCCAGCCTACTGGGACAAATTTATTATAAATAGATTAGTGAGGTGCTGGCCAACAAATGTTTTGTTTTGGTTAAGCTTTATGTTATGAGGGTTTGTGTCCTTTATGAAGTATCAAAGTATTTTTAGTACAGTATATGATAGAATTAAGTATTATATGCCAAGTATCATTTAACCTCATTTGAATTGGACATTGGGCAACTGGTGTGCAGAGTTACAGTGTGACTTCTGTACTTTTATTTTATCTTAAGATTTCAATGTTAAAATTTAAAACAAAGGAGATCATATCATCATGTGGTCAGGTCACTATCTGACCCTGATCTGATCTTCCCACGTTTGTCTCATTTCCAGAACTGCTCCTGTATCTCTGTCTCTTTGCATGTGTGTTTTGGATAGCTTCGCACTTATACTGGGCTGGGTTGGCTGTTAGACCCCATGCTTTGAAAAACAGAGGTTATTTCAATCAATCAGTCAAAGTACAATGGAGTCGCAATACTTTGTGGGTTAGGTCCCAGAAGACATAATTAATTATCAAATCGTGAATTATTGTATAATTCATTTAAATGGAAATCAATATTTTGGTTCCGGAGGTCAAAAAATACCCTTACACTGTTTGAAAACTACTTTAATGAAAACAAAACATTGTACATAATACTGTGCTGTACATAAAAAATACAGACACATGTAGATATTAACCGAAAAGTAGTTATACATTATATAAACAGTTCCATCCCTTCTGCCAATGCAGTACACCATAAATGAGAACTTATTTTTCATTCCTAATAAGTGGGAAGTCGTTCACCAAGTGCACTGACCCTGAGATTCAAATGCTGGAGCCTCAGCTGCGAATTATGAAAATATTATCTGCAAATTTAAAAAAAAAAAGAAGAGCTATGGTACTAATAGAGTTTGCACAAACAAATTTGAAAATCGCGAATTATTGCAACTTCACTGTACTGTTCCCATATCTGAGGTTTGATGACCACGCTTCCTAGTTTTTAATTTCTTGCATCCATTTAGTAGTGTAATTTTTTTATGTTACCTGTTGGTTGCTTTTGTTCTGTAGCTGGCTACCATAATTATCCATAATTTTTTTTATCCATAGAATGTCTCTTCCCTTCTGTGAATAATTAAAATTACACAATAATACTATACAGTACTGTAGAAGTCCTCATAGCTAAAGGATACCATTCATTAGGCCTTGCAAGATTTTTAATTTCCTTATTTACCTAATGGCTACTCACTAGAGGTGGCCATGCAAAAGGAGGGAGGCTAGTGGTTTGTGTAGGATCTCTCCAGTGTTCTTGATATTTTTATCAAGGGATATTTTGCAGCCCAGTTCCATACTGTTTTTGATTCCACAGCTTAGGCTGGTTGACCCTCTGTGTGAAAATGTATTTCCTTGTACTGTACCTGTACAGTGACCCCTCGTTTAACGAACGCCTCAGTTAACGAAATTTCGGTTAACGAACTGCCTTCCATAAGGATCTTCAATTCGGTTAACGAATTTCTTACGAACCGACCTCAACATGTTTTCGCTTGCATTGACCGGGCAACCAGCTTTAGTATCAGTCCGCCAATACATTAATCGGTTCTAGGGCTTAAATTCCTTACTATTTTAGTAAATATCAAGAAGTTTATACTATTCAATAATTTTAAAAGTTTAATATTAACTTTTTTAGTCATTTTAACAATTATTGAAATAATTGAAGGTAAAGAAACTAGTTTCTGGCGTGCCATCCAGCCTGTTAACACACCAGACAGGCGTTAGTCTCTCTCTGTTTTCAGTGGAGGTAACATCTTGCTTGAGACTCTCTTCAACTAAATGCTTTTTTTCTGTGTTTCCAAGCAAATTATTGGTCATTTTGAAATATATTTTACATATTGACAATATATAATGCAGTGCAGTGTTGATTTAAAGAAAATAATCTTGAAATACACCAAGAGAACTAAAATTTTATGGATGAAATGGTGCCATGGGGTGACTTCTCTTCCACCCCAATGCCTTTTCTTCTTCCTTCTCCTCCACCCCCATTCTAATTCCCATCATCATCATCATCATCCAGGAGCCTTCTACATACACACCTCAAAGTAAGTGAACTTTTCTACCATTTTTGTTGAATTTAGGAAATTTTCGGTGAGCTGGAACCAATTACCCAAAAACCCATTGAAACAATGGTTTCGGTTAACGAACGACCTTCTGGAACGGATTGAGTTCGTTAACCGAGGGGTCACTGTATTCATTATGCATGATAGCTTAACAAGCTTGTTGTTATGCCCTCTCATGTTGGTGGTGCGTGACATCACAAAGAAATGTCCCAGGTACAGGTTTTCCAGCCCTTTCAGGATTTTGAATGTTTCACTGACATCTGCCCTATTGTGCCTTATCTGAAGGGTTGTTAGTCCTAAGGCCTTCAGTCTACTTGGATAATCAAACTGACATAGTTCCGGAATCACCTTAGTCGCTCTGTGTTGCATCTTTCTCGGGATGTTAGGTCTTTGTGGAGGTATGGTTTCCATGCCTGTATACAGTAATGCAGACAGGGATGTACTTGATATTTGTACAGTTGAAGGGATATTTTCCTATCCTTATAATTTCCAAAATTTGATTTTTTTTTTTCACTGCTGCCCCCACTTGTTGTGCTGCCTTCAGTGAAGATCTATCACAATGCCAATATCTTTCTCCTTATCAACAGTATCCAGGATAGTGTTATAAGCAGAATACAGTAGTTGTAATTAAGGTTGTTGTATCCTACGTGTGGGGTCTTGTATTTCCTAATATTAAAGGGCATGTGCCAGCTCGAGACTATTTTAGCAGTTCATGCAGGTCTTTCTGCATTGTTACGACATTGTCATGACTTGTTACCTTCTCAAATATCTTCATGTCGTCTGCAAACTTGACAATGTGGCTCAATATTTTTTCATCCATGTTGTTTCTGTAGATCACAAACATGGTGGGTCCAAGGATAGAGCCTTGTGGTACTCCACTCAGAACCTTTTTCCATTCAGAATGTATTCACTTTATTATCACTCTTTGTTTTTAATCTACTTCAAAATCCATGTACACTCTCCCCAAAAAGCATCGGCCCCCCTGGGCCTGATGTATTTAGAAATTAACACAATAACACGTGCACAGCAGTGTCAGTTCAGTTGGTATTTCTGATTGTGAGTTGCACCTTTCTTTCTTCCTTCTTGCATCTGATGATCACCATGATATCCACAATATACAGTAGGGTGTGACAGGTTCCCCAAATTACTGGGATATTATATGTTTTAACACTACAGTACTTATGTGTCATATTCAGATACACACAGACTTAGCATAAAACAGTAGATGATGCAGACAACATATATATGAAACAAATTATATACAGTATAAGTGAAATGGTGTATATCGTTACAACATATAACGAGGACCTCCTGTATTCATTTAAGGTATCAGCCACTTGTCTGTCATCCTCCAGGGTCATGTTGTTTTTGTCCTTTAGAGAGCCAATAGTATCCTTGGTTTTCATTTTACTCCTGGCATACTCATAAAAGAACCTGGGATCTTTCTTATTATTTTGGGCTAGTTACAGCTTGAAGTGCCATTTGGCTGATCTAATTTCCTGATTGGCTACATTTAGGGCTCTTTTGTATACTGTACTACATAATCTGCATGATGCCCTGAACTCTGGTACAGTATTTCTTCCACATCTGATATTTTCTTTTACAGTCTTGTCGAGATCTGTGATTCATCCACCTGGTCTGTGTCTGTCTCCTCTTAAAAAAAAAATTTCCTTGCAGTTAATTCTCTGTAGTTTACTTTCCATGAGCTGTTAATCTCCATGGATAAAGTCATAGTATTCTTCCTCACCTACTTTCTCTCGACTATCAAAGATTATATATAGAGATATACAGGTACAGAATTTTTACGTAATTTTTGTGTGTAGATGTGTACTGAATATACAAATAATTACAAATACAATATACACCCCAATAATGTGGTAGGAAAATAAGTAAAGTTAAAATAAATGAAAGCTTAATGATGAGTAAGTTTATGAATACAAAATAAGTACTGTACACCTGCACTGCCATTTTATTGATTGGCCAGCGGAAGGGCACAGCACCTTGCTAAATTCAGACTTAAAGAGAAGCAGCTCAAGGAACTCCAATAATTCAATTGTGTATTGTATATAGCATAAGTAGTGGATCGAAAAAAATTCCCATGTGAAGATACGTAAATGTAATGGTATCAGTAGGGGCATAATAGACATTAAGAGTACATTATAGTATACAAAATTCATTTTGACAATCCTTCATATATGCAGACTTTTGTATACTGTACTGTACTTGTAGAGTACAGTATTATATTTGTAGAATAATTCTTGTAATCTTCCTATATCTTGAATATGATCATCGTGGATATAGACATTTTTGTTTCAACTTTTTTTGCAGTGTGGTCCATCATTTTCCCCAAACTTCATCTTCTCATGGCCTGGAGCATCTGTGACTCACACTCTCAATCCTCCACCTTTACCACCACAGCCTGAGGAAGAAATACTTAATTTAAAAGACAACAAGACGGTAAGCACATATTCACTGAAACAATTGAGTAACATTCTATTCTTTTGATTCATTGCTGCCAACCAAAGCCTTCTGTCTTTGTGTTATGGTATTCTAGATTCCCCTGCATATAGCACCAGTTGCTCAACACATACGGCAGTCCCTAATGATAACTGGTATACAATGGCTTCAGATATCATGATTCTCATACACTTAACTGTACTATAAGTGATATCCCCATTAGCCGGAACAGTTTGTGCAGAGCACTTCTGGAGTGAGAGATTTCTGGGCCCCCTGTACACTATACTGTATTGTAAATAAATAAAATAATGTATACCGCTATTGTACTCTATACATACAGGGATATCCCGGCTATTGTACAGGATGCATTCCTAGAAATAATTGCGAATAACGACTTTGCGAATACCGGGGCAATTTTCCACCCATGAGAATCAATATAATTAGGGGGAAGGCGTTCCCATCTGGCAACTTTCACCACATATTTTTTATATACATTCCTCATTATCCAAGGCTATTGGAGACCAGGGTCACATATATACTGTAGTACCAGTAAATGTGAGGAATAAATAAAGATAATACCTGTACACAGGAGAATGTAATAGCTAAGATCCTCAGTGTTGCTCCTTCTCCTCCCATGAACCATGCACTAACTCCAGTGCATGTACGAAATGTTTATTCCCTTTATGTTTTTGACCTTATGATAATCATTTCTTTTATTTAATTTTTGCACATTCTATGTGCATGTAACAGAGTAAAAAAAAATAAATAAAACTAAAACTACGTACAATACATCTTTCCAAAATTACGAGTTGAAAAATAACAATAACGCATCTTGGCCTGGTAGGGTGAGAGCTAGGGGGATGTAGCTACAGGTTCAGTCTAACTGGGTGACATGCCAAGTCCACACATACGTCTACTTCACACACATACACACCCATGCTCTTCATTGTTATTATATAGCAACATGCCATCTGCACAGATATTATTTTTTCTAATTTGCTTTGTGAATATCAAATATGGATGATAAAATATTAATTATGAGTAAATGGGTTGTGAATAGCGAGGTATTCTTGTACTGTAGTCACAAGCAGATGTTGTTGTCTTGAGCTTGTGATGCAGGCAGGCCAAATGGTGATATGATGATACATGATGGCCTTCCTTTGTCCTGTATCATCTGCTGTAGCAGGTGTTATTATCTGCCACCCTACTTTCCTTCCATTGAGGAGGGATTGTACATGCACTGTCCACTATACATACACCTCTACACACTAGCCTACAGAAAGCATACACTGTCCACTGCTGAATGTACATGGGTCCCCCAAATTCACGGGTGTTGGGTTCTCAAAATGCCACGAATCGGCAAATCCGCGAATAACATTTGCTGACGTGGGGGGGGGGTGCGTTTGCCATGAGGAAAATACTCTCACAAATGATCAAAAACAAATTTATTAAAAATGTGACAGTCTACCTTCAAGTTCGTGCTTTAATAAATAAAGCACGAACTTGAGGGTAGACTCACATTAAAAAAAAAATTAAATTCTGGTTATTTGTGCGAGTATTTTCCTATTATTATTTATTTTGATGTGTTTTGTGTGTGTGTCTACACACACACACACACACACACATATATTTACAATACAGGTAAAGGAAATTGCTTTCTCTAGAATGAATGGCTCCCTGTCCCAACAGAGGAAAATGCCAGCAACTTTAAAACTAACCGCAGACATTCTTGGGTACATCCATGGTGCCATCCGCGAATAATAGAGGACCGCAAAATAAAAATCCGCGAATTTGGGGGGCCCCTTGTACATGTATTGTACAATATATGTAACTGTAATCACTTTTTATGTCTCAACACTGCTTTAATGCTGGTTGTGCCCTGGTACAGTAATATGGTTAAGTTTCTTTATGCCATTTGCCTCTGTCTACCTAGCATTAATTGGGAACCTGGATGTGAATTGATTTGCAGATTGTGCTCCGGGGTAATGGTTAGCCAGTGCAGTTGGCGAGCTGTCCAGTCTTCTCGGACTATTCCTTGACACTGGGTCACGCAACTCGTTAACTTAAAGTGTGGTTGTTGTGTTGGCGACAGCTTTTACACCTAAACAAATTCATTCCTAGTTGGCCCTGGGGCTGGCCATCCTCATTACACGAGGGCAACCATTATTATACAACACAAATTGTACGCAAAAACAGCAGTGAGCGAGGGAACAACCTCGTACAATGGCAGCAGAATATGACTAAGTGCGTGAGCCTATGTCCAAAGTTACCGAAGCATCTAGCCCACCCACACTTTTTGGAACATGGGGAAACATGTGGACATTTCGGAGCATGAGACATTCTCTCGGAATGCACGAAAAACTTGTTCCTATGCCAAGAATGGAGAAATTTTCTCGGGGTTTTTCTGGAAAATGTGCATGATTTCTTCCTTGGAAATTCATTTCCACGCACAGAATGGAGAGAATTTTCCCCAAATTTCCTGGAAGGATAAAAATTCATTGTGGCTATTAGAGAGTTCAAAGGACTGGAGATTCCAGCTAACAGGGAGATTACTGTACTGCTATTGATGAAATTCTTGATGATGTGGATAATGACAAAAATATTTTCAAAAAATTTGTTATCTTCTTATATTGTACCAATGACAGCTTTCATAATTGGCTGAGTAAATGGCCACAAATCTCAATGGTAAAGGTTAAAGGGAGGGTCAACTCTCTCATAAAATTTGTTAATGGATTTTGTCAATATGTTTATTTTCATAAGTAGAAGTGAAATGTGGAAAAATGGAATGTAAACTTTTGAAAATAACACAAGAGATTGTCCTACAAGTATTTTAGTCTTTCTTACCAACAAGGCTTGTTTAGGGAGACTGCAGGGCTAAATCATTAATGACAAGAGACAACACAAAACTAAACCAATCTGTCCTAACCAAAAATAATTTAAGTTTTTTTAGGTTTTATTGGAAAGGATTTGCCAGTTTGTGTTGCCTACTATCATAAATAATTTTAGGAAGCAAGGAAAAACACATTTGGAATTTTTTTTTATGAGACAGACTACAGGAATCAACTAAACCAGTGTTAATATATAACCTAGTGTGGCTGAGGTCTGGTTGGTAAATACAGTACTGTAGTTGAATAGTTTTCAAACCAATTTTCCCCTTTATACCCTTCAGGATTTTCATTCTATGCATTAAAATATATATGGCCTGAAGATTCTGCCAAAATACAGGCAAGTAAAGTAATGAAGATAAATTCAATATGAGCCAACTACAGCATTTTGCATTTTTGTTCAGAAAATGCATCTCTTTAGTGTGTCTTATTAATTCTTTAAATTTACTAACTAAATTGGAATGTTTAATTGTCCACATGGAATTAACCTAGTTAGTAAATATTGCATTACTGTACTGTCCTGTATATTAATACCAAGCTCTAAAAATTTCTCAGTCATAAAGGTAGTTTGCAGGAGAAAAAAGAACATCCAAAAAGGATGTTTAGAAAAGTACTAACATACTGTCTTGTGGAGTGCGTTGGTTGAGTAGGTACAGCTCTCACCTCCTGTTCCGGGGGTCGGTGGTTTGATTTTCGGGCACTCCTAGGTCACCCAGCTGTAAATGGGTACCTAAGTTAACAACTTGGGGAAGTGAAGGCGGTCGAGAGTAGTACCGGCCATGCTGCCTCCTTGTGTACTGAAGGCTTAGTATACAGTCGAGTCTGGATTTACGCGGGTTTGGTTAACGCGTTTGGTCATTTAAGCGGTGCCTTGCCAGAATCGAAATGCTTTAATTACACGGTAAATTTGGTCATTTACTCGGCGAGTTGCTGGAGGGTCCAGATGCGCCGCGCCATTTTGGATTCAAGCGGCCCAGGTGACCACAAGCGGCACGAATAAGGTTCCGCAGTATGTCGCTGTTGCACTATCGGTGACGTCATATGACGTATCGGACTGTGATTGGGCCACGCATCGTTACCACCCACGCATTCCCTCCGCCGCTAGCTGTGATTGGTCTAATGTAACATGACGTGCCCTGCCACCAGAATTCGCTGACCTAGCCGGGCCAGTCTCATTGTTCTCAGTCCGCGTATACAGTTCTCTCTTGTGCCCGCTATTCCCCTCACAACTCACAATGGCTTGCGCGGGACCCCCACCACCAGAGAAAAACATTGAATTACCTGGACCAAGCCATGATACTATGAAGGAAATCATCGAGTTGGGGGAGAAACTTCAGCTCATCCTTGACAACGACCCAGACAAGCATCGGTATGAAGTGTCTAATAACCATCTGACGAAATTTATGGAGCCGTATATCCAGATCTATCTTGACAACATCAATGCTAGTCGTCAACGTAGTGTTGAGGACTTCCTTGCCCGCAAGCCACCACAGCCTCAGCCAGCCCAAGTCAGTGATAGTGATATTGACAGTGAGGATATAACTTTGAGGGGTTTGTCTGGGAGGCCCTGCAAACCTCTGCGAGTAGTGAAAGTGATTCACTGGAGGGCAACTAATCTGTCCTCTGCCTCGGAACCAGCCGCCATCCATGTGTGCCAACCCAGCTTTTCTACTAACGTAAGTGTTAAAAACCTAATATTATTGATATTTCTCTTAATTATTAATTATGTGTGCATACTATCATAAAATTAAGATGTTATTTTTACTACAAGGTACTTATTGTGTCGGAAAAAGTGGAGTTTGAGGGTCGGCCCAGTCTCTATTTCAATTAATCCCATATGTTCTGTTATTTTATTTACGCGTTTCTCGTTTTACGCGGGCCTCCACTGGTTCAATTGACCGCGTAAATGCAGACTCCACTGTACAGTGTGCTGTATCCACACTGTCCCTAACAGGTAGTCATGCTTTTGGGACCCACTTAAGCTTTCACTGTATGTTACTGTATAATGGAGCATAGCCAGTGTTACCAGGGCTTATAAATCTCCTGCTCATTGACCTTTCTCATAAAGAATATATTGAATGGATGTAAGTCCCAAGATCTCTCATACATATACAGTATTATATTCTATAACATGCCATGTGCTTCTAAAGCCTTAATCAGTTTTTGTGACTTATTTATCATTTTTTACCAGATCTTGGGAAGTTAGATGCTTCCATGTTTATTGCCAGACAAGGCACTATGGCAAAGCTTACACAGTAGTAAGCTCCTGATTATCATAAGGTTAGACTGCAGAGTCACATCTGTAACAGTTTTAAAGCTGCTGTGATTGTAGATCTAAATAGTTATCAACTAGAGGTAGTAGGTAGTAGGCAGCTATCAAACAAGGAGGTACTACCGCCTGGGAAGTTATCGGAAGCATAATGTGTTGTCTAATGGTATACTCTGCTGCCATATGGCATCACAAAAATTTTGACCTAGTCTCAGATTGCTGATCTGACTTTCTGTCTCATTTACACACAATTGCAGGGTCTCAATTGTTTCTCATTGACAACACAACTATATCGTTTCTCACTATTGATCTTTTTTTATAATTTTTGCATTTCGTTATGGTTCTTTGCTGCTATTATTATTATTATTATTATTATTATTATTATTATTATTATTATTATTATTATTATTATTATTATTATTATTATTGTTATTATTATTATTACTACAGGTTGTACCTCTAGTCCGGCAACCTCGGGACCTGACCGGTGCCGGACCATGGAAACTCACCCTTTTCCTGGATAGATAGTGACTTGTGCTTATGCTTGGAAGCACTAGCACCACTTTCTCTGCATCATGGTCTCTTTGAAGACATATTGAAGGGTTAAATGTCGTATAGTAGCTTCTCAAATTTCGCGAGTTTTTAATTCTTAACGTATTTTATTGGAACACACAAAAAAATAAATAAATAAAAATTTTGACGGCGGAAACTTGAATTTCGACGGGTTTGAACGGCCCGCCAACGTGCAGACGACGTGCATAATCGTGTAAACAGCGTCATTTCTCTTATGTACAAAAGATTCATTATTGTTTATTACTGAATGTCTTTTTTTGAATTAATGTTTATGTGTGCAAAATGAGCAATACAATTCATTAATAATACGTAGAATATTAAAACACACGAGGAAATGACACAGCATTGTTTTCGTTGATTACAAAACCAGTGACTGACTGGTTCTACATATAAAACTGAAGAAAATAAGACCTTGGTTGTAGCTGTAGTAAAATTAATATGGTTGTTTTAAGTAATGTTATTTAATGTTAATAAATGGAACAATAGAAGTAGCTAACGATAATGGTAAAGAAAAAAGAGAGATAGCGTATGTAAGTGCGCATGCGCACACGTGAAAACATATCGTCATTACTTTACATAAGAATATGAAAGCAACACTTATTTACTGTTCATATATATTTTAATTTATGTTTCTGAATTTGTTTTTATTGAATTAATGTTTGTGTGTGCAAAATAAACAATACAATTTATTAATAATACGTGGAATATTAGAGGAGACGAGACGGCTGCCGGCATTGTTTATGTTAAAGCTTACAAAACCAGTAACTGATTGGTTCTACATATAAAACTGAAGAAAATAAGACCCTGATTTTAGCTGTACGGTAGTAAAATTAATGTAAAAAAATTAATATGGTTGTTTTAAGTACCTGCAATGTTATTTAATGTTAATAAATGGAACAATATAGGTAGCTAACCATTAATGGTAAAAAAAAAAGTGAGACTGCTCGTATGTAAGTGCGCACATGTGAAAACATATCGTCATTACTCTACATAAGAATATGAAAACAACACTTATTTACTGCTCATATATATTGAAGGGTTAAATGTTGTACTCTGTATAGACAAGCAGAGAGAGAGAGAGAGAGAGAGAGCAGCCGAACTGCCGGATGTAAACAAACCTTAATTTCCCGCAGCTTTGTTTTTTTGTTTTTTTTAAGGGGATTAGCCCACCCGGGCATAAGTCACTGACCCACATTGGGGCCTGAGGGGCAAAAATTTAATACTCCTGTAATAATAATAATAATTCAGATAAAAAAAAAAAACAAAGCTGCCTATCTACCTATTGGACAAACTAAAATCGTTCCGGACCACGGGAGTTTCCGGACCACAGAATGCCGGACTAAAGAGGTACAACCTTTATTATTATTATTAAATATAAATTATTAATTATTAATTATTAATTATTATTATTATTATTACTATTGTTGTTGTTGTTGTTATTATTACATGTCCCCCCTGCCCCGATAAGGGTCTGTGACCTGTGCCCAGGTGGGCTAATCCCTGGGGAACAAAAAATGGCAAGGTAATACACGATGACAGGATGGGGAGTTGCCCGGCTGCAACTGCATTTTGAAGTACTTTAGGAATATATTTCACCACTTAAATGATTTGATAATTTAAACCATATCAGAAATGTAACTTATTTGTTGTTATTACCTGTATGAGTTGACAAATATCTCAATTAACAAAATACAAATAACTTCGTGATGTTGCCCACACACTCTTGTTAACTATTTTCAACTTTGTTTGGAAAAGTAATAACAATAAAAATAATTAGGCACAAGAAACCTACAGAAATCAGAGTCATATTGTTGGACAATCTTTCCTATATGGTAGGTGCAAAATCTAATGTCAGTTTGTGTAAACATAACTGATTCCATATACTGTAGTGTCCATTTCTAAAGCAAATATTTACTTGACAGGCAAACAAACAGCGTAGATCTCTGTCAGCATTCAACTTTCCTGTGGGTGGCTCCTTCTACCAGGCCTCAAGAGTGCTCATTGACAGCATCATTATTCCTTCAGAAACCAGAAAGGTATGTTAGTGGAATTCCATTCATTCTCTTGGTTTTACTCTAATTCCTGAAATTTTGGCACAATATTGAATTAAGGCTTTCGCCTCTTCGCCACAGTGACATACTGTACTCGATCTATCATAGGAGGCCCAGAGTGGCAGGTGGTGATGTTTCCAGTTCATCAAGAATAACCAAGATGCAATGGTAGTAGTGCCAGGTTTGCTGTATCTGTCTCAGCACTTCCACAATGTCTCATACAGTAGAGTCACGATAATTCGGGATTTAGGTACCAGAAGACATTGAATTATCAAATCATGAATTATAGTTTAATTGGTTTTATTGGAAATAATTTTCACTCAATCCAGCCACATCAACTGCCCGGCCTCCTATCACTCGCACACAGAATTTACTTCACACTCCATTTTTCTTATTTTATAGTTTTGTCATATTTTTGTTATTTCTAAGACACAGTGGTGCATTGAAATTATATTTCCACAAATTTTTGGTTGGTTTCTTATGTAAATTCTGCGGCAGCTGCCTCTCAGCCACAAATTATGAACAGTAGTAATAGAGGCATTGTACCCGCCAATTTAAGATCGTGAATTTGTGTTTTGTAAATAATCGCAACTCCACTGTATATGCTGCTGGTAGCAATATTAGCTCCACCCACTCTAGATCCAGAGAATGATGTAATGGCCTCCTGTGGGCTCCACCATTGTTCCACCAGTCTCCCATTGTCCTCAGAAGTGGAAGGACACTTTGTATGATATATCAGTACAGTGGTCCCTCGGTTAACGAACACAATTCGTTCCAGAAGGTCGTTCGTTAACCGAAAATTTCGTTTACCGAAACCATTGTTTCAGTGGGATTTTGGGTAATTGGTTCCAGCTCACCGAAAATTACATACAAACTAAAAATAAATGCAGTAAAGTACACTTACTTTGAGGTGTGTATGTAGAAGGCTCCTGGTTGATGATGATGATGATGATGGGAATTAGAAGTGGGGGTGGAGGAGAATGGAGAAGAGAAGGAAGTGGGGGTGGAAGAGAAATCACCCCATGCTTCATGCTGCCATTTCACCCATAAAATTTTAAGTTCACTTGGTGTAATTCGAGATTATTTTCTTTAAATCAACACTGCACTGCACTATATATTGTCAAAATGTAAAATAAATTTCAGAATGACCAATAATTGCACTGTAAAAACATAAAATTAGTTTACGTTCAAGAGAGTCTCAAGCAAGATGCTTCCTCCACTGATCAGAGACACAAACTGACGCCATTCTGGGTGAGTCAAGTGGCTGTTTGGCACGCTAAAAACTAGTTCCCTGTACATCAATTATGTTAAATAATTGTTAAAATTACTAAAAATTTTAATATAAGACTTTGAAAATTATTGAATAGTACAACCTTCTTGATATTTACTCAAATGGTAACGAATTTAAGCCCTAAACCAATTACTGTATTGGCAGACTAATACCCCAGCTGGTGAGCAGGCAAAAACATATTGACTCGATTTCGTAAGGATTTCGTTAACCGAGTTGAAGATTCTTATGGAAGGTAATTCGTTAACCTAGGGATCGCTGTAATTTGGAGTAAAAATGGCAGAATCATTTGATGTAGTGGTGAAGTATATTTCTGACCAGGAAAACCTTAATAGTGACAATTTGTTTAAGAATAATGTAAAAAGTGAAGAATTAGTGACTTAGATGAGTGTGAAGTTGGAGTATGTACAGTAGGGTCAGGATATACTGTATAGCGAGATAGGGTCCAAGGATGTTCGCCATATACTAAATCGCGATATGTAATTACATGTAATTATAGGGTTAGGTTCTGGGGGCCAATAAAGTGACTAAACTTGACTTGACGAGTTTATTTGTACATTGGCAAATTTCATCTTCCTGGGATTTCTCTGTGCAAATGTGTCAATTACTTGGTTTATATCCACTGGTATATCTCATTATTTCACACTGTCTGGCAGTGCTGTATATTAAGTGCATTCAGGTGCATGGGAATGGCAGAGGTGGTGGAAGTTACCGTGGCGTGGGGTGAGGTCAGGTAAGTTGACCCAACCTTCGTGTTACTAAGGTGTCACCAGGTCAGGTATGGGTTGGCCGCACCATGCAGTACCTGGAGGGGGGGGGGGTTTCCGGGCAACCAGGAAACCCCCCTGGGTGTGCCACTGGTTATCTAGTAAATTTAGTCAATATTGTACAGTACAAGTACACTGCAATATTCCACATACACGTAAGTATAAATATAAAGTTCACAATGTGATGTTCGGACAACATCCAATTCGGTTAACGTCACGTTTCCAAGAACGTATCTAGGACGTTAAGTGGCGCACGACTGTATATGAATGCAACACTTATTTACTGTTTATATATGTTTTAAATAATACAGTGGTCCCTCGGTTAACGAACGCTTCGGTTAATGAAATTTCGGTTAACGAATTACCTTCCATAAGAATCTTCAATTCGGTTAACGAACAAAAATTTGATTAACAAAATTCTTAGGAAAACATGTCAACATGTTTTGGCCTGCTCATCGTCTGGTAGGTTAGTCCGCCAATACAGTAATCTGTTCCAGGCTTACATTCGTTTCCATTGGAGTAAATATCAAGAAGGTTGTGCTCTTCAATATTTTTCCAAGTTTTATATTAAAATCATTAGTCATTTTAACATTTATTTAACATATTGATAATATATGCAGTACAGGGAACTAGTTTGTTGTGCGCCCATCACATGTGCGAGTCGGTCACAAAGTGTCAGTTGGGCATTTAAAACAGTGGAGAGAGCATCTGTTTTGTTGGTGTCTTGATTATTTTTGCATTTTTCATTGAAATTATTGGTCATTCTGAACTTTAGTTAACATATTGATAATATATAGCGCAGTGCAGTGTTGATTTAAAGAATATAATCTTGAATTACACCTAGTGAACTTGAAATTTTATTGGTGAAATTACTGCATCAAGTATGGGTCCCCTGAAAGGTGATTTCTCCTCCATCCCCACTTCCTTCTCCTCTCCCTTCTCCTCCACCCCCACTTCTAATTCCCATCATTATCATCAACCAGGAACCTTCTATATACACACCTCAAAGTAAGTGTACTTTACTGCATTTTTTTTTTAATTTGTATGTACTTTTCGGTGATCTGGAACCAATTACCCAATATCCCATTGAAACAATGGATTCGGTTAACAAAATTTTCGGTTAACGAACGACCTTCTGGAACGAATTGTGTTCGTTAACCGAGGGACCACTGTATTTACGAATGTAAAACAAAAATTCTACTCACCAATGGTGGTAAAGTCTAAAACATAAGGACAGCCAATGAATATTGTGTGAGTTTTTACTCAGATGACGAAGTCATCAGGTACAACTCGGGCTGAAGCTGTAGGTTCAACGCTGGCTGAAGCTGTAGCTTTCTATAAAGCTGTTGCTGAAACTGTTACTGAACCTGAAGTTGATGTTGAAGCTACTTATGATGCTGAATTTGATGGTGTAGCTGAAGTTGATGGTTTAGGCCGCCTAAACCATCAGCCAGAGTTGAACCTGATGATTTCGTCATCTGAGTAAAAACTCGCACATCATTGGCTGTCCTTATGTTTTAGACTTTACCACTATTGGTGAGTAGAATTTTTGTTTTACATTCGTAAGTATTATTTAAAACATACATGAACAGTAAATTAGTGTTGTTTTCATATTCATATGTAGAGAAATGACGATATGTTTTCACATGTACGCACTTATTGTACATACGTTGGCATTCCCAATCGTCTTGCTTTATTTTTTTACCATTTGTGGTTAGCTACTTCTATTGTTCCATTTATTAACATTAACTAACATGACTTAAAACATATATATTAATTTTTTACATTAATTTTACTACAGCTACAACCAGGGTCTTATTTTCTTAATTTTCTCGTGTAGAACTATCGTCCCGGACTCCCTGCTGTAAACACAAACGAAAACAGTGGCATCCCATCTCCTCTTGTGTGACCATATTATTATTAATTTATATTGTATAAGGTGCATTCAGAAACATTATTTAAAGAATATAGTTTGCAATTTTCATTAATTGTGTTGTTTTGGGGGAGACGAGGGTAAAGAGCCACACAAAAGACATGAAAAGGTCACACTTGGGAACGCATCTCATTATTATTGCTTTATTTATAATAGTAATTAATGATTCGCGATACGATGATTCACCTTACACTGCAATATTGGAGGACACATTACCATCGTTATTCGAGGCTTTACTGTATTATTATTATTATTATTATTTATTCCTCACATTTACTGGTACAGTATATATTATTTTATCTACAAAGAATAAGTTCTTCCACACACAAACCTCCCACACATCCAGCTCATGACACAGTTCAGGCAGTCACTCAACTGACTCACAGACATGTGGCGGCCACCATGGTGGATGTGTGTACCGTGACGCCACATTGGGAGGGAGCGCAGCCATGCATAACCCACTGCCTCATAACACATTTGCTTCCCACATATGCTTTTCATTTTAATTATTTTATGGTTTCATATTATATTTTATTTGTTTCTCAGCCACATTGTTTATATAGAGTGGAATAATTGTTAAAGACGTCCAATTTTCTGAGAGACACGTTAGGAGTCATCTGGTGCGGCCGTCTTCAGGAGAGAGCACAGACTGCCCTCCCAAAAGGTAATATACCAAAGTTAAACAGACCTTCATCAATGTCTTCATGCTAGAAATGGAGGAGTAATCCCAAAACAGTTTTCTAGCATAGTCCCCCTCCCCCATATTTTTTTATTATACAGCATTAATAATGCAAACATTATATGGATTGATGAATTATGTTTCTTTCTCAGGTTGTAGCCCAGTGTCTACGAATTTGTCAACAGCAAAAGCATATGACCAATGCCCCAAAGGACTTCCCTGTTTTCAGACTCTAACAAATCTCATAAAAGTTTTTCCTACAAGAAAATTTCTAATTTAATATTTTGGGTGAAATTTGGAACTAGACTATAATTGTATGTGAGCTCTTCAATAAAAGAAATCTAATGTACCACGTTGTATGTCAAAAATAAGTACGGTAGGTAGACTTCGAAATCCTTGATGACTATTGCCACTGTTTAGACTTGACCAAAACAAAGTTATTAATTCTTTCATAAAATAACTACTTCTATATTAGGGTAATCTGCATTAATTACTATAAGCCATGTCAATATTATGATTTTGTTAATGGTGTCCAGGGTATGAATACAAAATACATTTATTTACTATGCAGTTGAGCAATGAAATAAGAAGCAGTGATATTAAAATTACATAAAGAAGATATCAATTATTTTATCCCAATGTTGAAATAATTTGATTGAACTTGGTCAGTTAGAATATATTTTGTGCGGGCCATCTGAGTCAGCTGGAGGTTGAGTCCATGGGTAGCATCGCCACGCGACCCACACACACCACATGGTCCCAGTGAGTACAGTGTATTTTAGAATTAGAAAAAATAATATCTATGCAGATGGCATGTTGCTTTAAATTGAGAAGAATGAAGAGCACGGGTGTGTATGTGTGTAAAGTGAAAGCTGTGTTTGGACTTAGCGTGTCACCAAGTTAGACTGTACCTGTAGCTACATCCCCCTAGCTCTCCCCTGACCAGGCCAAGTTGTTTTATTGTTATTTTTCAACTTGTAATTTGGGTAGATATACTGTACATATTGTTTTTTTCTTTTTTATTTATACAAGTATAATTTTTATTTATTCTTCACATTTACTGGTATGCATCCTTTGTGATAACCAGGGTTTTCCTATATTAGTGAGCTACTTTAGAGCTGTACAATGGGTTTAGTGTGTTGGGGGGGGGGGCTTTTTGGGGCCCACCTGACGCATCCTCCATCTCCCATGTCATAATGGATTCGCTCTACACGGATTCGTTCTACACAGTGTTGTCTGGGAATGCAACCCTCATGTTAAGTGAGGGGGCACTGTAATTTAGTTATGCCATTATATTAAGAAGCATTTGGTATAGAAAAAATTGCTATAATCAGATGCACTCAAATTAACAATTTGTGTTCAGTATTTTTTATAGCTATTCGCTATTACTACAGTAAGTCCTCAGTTAATAATTTGATTGTGTTCTTGTAAACTGCAACGTTATGTGAAACAACTTTGAGCGGATAAATTTTTCCCCCATAATATGCACCAAAATTAAGACGATGTAAACACAATTGTAAATGCCTGTATACTTTGCACTGCCAATACACGTAAATTACAATAATGTTTAATTAATATTTAGTATGATATAAAGTACTCACCGATGGCAAAAGGTGAAGCAAGTGAGTGGTGGGAGGTGGCGTTGGCGGGGGTCACAGGGACCCAGAGGGTCCTCCCCCTTCCCCCACTGCCCCCATCACTCCACTTGTCTTGGTATCACTCAACGACAAAACACTTCCAACACTGGTCTTAATTTCTTCAGCACTAGCACGAATAGTATGCACCGTGGTAACGGGTAAACCCAATGCTACCCCTAGATCTACAGAACATTCGCCTGCTTCAAACAGACATAAAACATCCGCCTTCACTGCAAGACTGATGCTTCTCCGCTGCTTCTTGCAACTAGCAGTACTGGCAGAATCACTTGCTGGTCATTTTGAAGCCGTATCAATGGGCATAGTAGAGCAAAACAGCATGAACACGAGGTACACAGAAGACACGACCGCATCCACACTTAGCAGAGGCGTAACCTAGACTGATGCTCTGCGGTAACGTTGTACAGCATCACAGGGCGGGTGAGGGAAAGTGTTGTGCGGAGCAATGTAGTGCCATTTGACCAACAAGGTAATAACCATTTTCCACAACGTTATGTGGAGTCTTGGTATAGAAATAGTATTGATGTAATAACGATATGATGTTATCTGCAATGGAATCTCCTTATTTGTTGAGTCCCCTGGAAAAACACTCAATCACACATAAGGGTTGATGGAAACTCAAGCATAATTGACCTAGACTGAACCACATTGAGGTTTTAAAAAATTGCACATCTGTGGTAGGAGGGATTCCTTCACAGATGATCCTGAAACTATCAGAAACCTCTCGCTGTCAGAAAAATATAGGAACCAACAATATACAAGGGTGAACTGAAAAGTAATGCCTTCTAATTTATAATTCCAACACAAAATGAGATACAGTATTTATAATGAAACCGAAACAAATGCTTAGAGTGAACTTAATTTTTTATTTTGACATAGTTACTTCTAAACATATCATTTCTGCAGTCCACACACTTCTGCCAATGTTGAAGCAGTTTCTTGATGCCGTCACGATAAAACCCTGTTTCTTGTTGAAAACACTTCCTCACAGCTGTCTTAACTCTAATGTATGAAGAGAAATGTCATCCTCTAAGATGTTCCTTAAGTTTAGGGAATAAGTGGGAATCTGATGGAACCAGATCTGGGCTGTATGGTGGGTGGTCCAAGCCTGTGAAACGAAGGTTGTAAATTGCTTCAGTCGTTAGCAAACTCATGTGAGGGCGCTCATTGTCATTGGAGGAGAACCATCTGAATGTCAGGGTAAACTTTTTGAATCCATGACATTAATCTCTCCAAAGGTTCATTGCAGTGCACAGAGTTAATGGTGGTACCAGTTGGCATCAATTCTGAACAGACAACACCATTAATGTTCCAGAAAACAGTAAGTATGAGTTTTTTGGCAGACACTTGGGTTTTGAACATTTTTAGTTTTGGTGGGCAAAAATAAAGGATATTTTGCTAATGGCAGTTGACAAGATGTGCATTGATGAAGGGCCCTGTCAGGCATGTAGTAACATGGTGGTGGAAAGATGAAGTGGACAGAGGGATAAAGGTAAAAAGAAGATTTCATAAAGCTTGGAAGAAAAATGGTGACAAGGAGGAGTACTTGGAGGCCAAATGCAGGGCCAGACAAGAGGTTTACAAGGCTAAGAATCACAAAAAAGATGCATTCAAAAATATGCTGTATAGTTTCAACACAAAAGGGAAAGTATTCAGGATAGCCAGGCATATAGTGGCCTTATTGTTAGTCAAAGTTCCTGATGGTGATCCTGACCTTCAGGAACCTGTAACTCATGGCGGCAGGCGGTATTCAAGAACGTCCTGATCCACTGGGTAGGGAGGGGTACCAATGTGTGCAAATGGGCAGGATGGCCGGTGGTTGGTATGGTGCGAATCAGCTGTCACATGTAAGGAAACAAAGTTTAATTTTATATGTTTCAGGATGTTAATATTATTACATTCTGTTTTACTTCATTTCTGTTACCCATCCTTGAATATTGCACAGGTACTCATTTAGTTCTCTGCTGCAGAGTGCCATTTAAAAATAATATATAAGGTTTTTGAATATAGCGACATAATTGTGTGATGAGGTTGACTGGGTTGATCATAAGCATCACCACTGTAGGTACTTTATGCATACTACTGTATATGAATTCTACTTGGACCCAAATAATCCTTTTTAATAATCTTTCCCAGAATCTTATACCCTGTATTTCAGCTACATGTACTGTACTAGATATTCATGGTAATATTAATTTTTAAGGTATAGACAAATTGTGATATAAAATATGTTTAAATACATTATTCTGGTGTCCAAAGTTCAAATTTAGAACTTTCATTTTTTGGGATAGGACTCCAAATAAAACAAACTTATCCTTGCTTAACTTACAACTACATTATACTTACTTACCTACCATAATGTATGCTTTATGTAAAAGAATAATATTTTAATTTAAAATTTCCTAGTGTATTACCAGGTACTATTTTTTAAGTTTTCGGTAATAGTTAGGTTAGGATGAGTTAGCTTGGTAATTGTACGACGTGAGATTAGCCTACACGGACTGGCACCGACTATACTCGTGTAAATCTTAACAACTCGTATATCAGGATACATGACTTTTCTCTTGTAAATGGAAAGTTAGCCATCATTGATTAATTCATCATTACACCAACATAGTGTGCATATACATGTACCTTTATTTTTAGATACTAAAATAAGAAAGCCATATACAGGAGTGTTTGTGTCAACACCAACTACTACTGTATTCTGAAACAACTACAAACAGAGATTACAAGTAACTCTAGCTGAAATTACAGAACCAGTTATGAGAGTTAGTAGCTGAGATTGCCAAAAATCATCATCAGTTACATAGTGTTACAGTTAGGAGATTCATGTACAATATTCATTATTACCAAAGTTACAGTGGTGACAAACCACTGTAATAAGAAAAGCTGCAAGAGACCATACAATAATACAAGCTTCCATCAGGTAATTATGGCTAACCTACAAAGGTGTGGAAAATGGCCAAAGAGCAATGATGATGATGATGTATACAGTAAACCTTGAAAGAACTTTAATTAAATTGTGAATCAAACAAATGTTAGCTTTTTACTCTCTTGTGCAGTGAAGGTTAGAGTAGTGAGGGGAGAGCAGGAAGTGGTGGTGGCCTCCCAGCCTTACACACACACACCTCCCCCCCTACTCCTTATAGTATTATGGTGAAAGTCATAACGTTTTTTTAATTTCTACATTTTCACTAATGAAATGAAATACTTGCAGGGGTTTACTGAACATATCAAAGACTTAATTTGCACATGGCTTTAAGAATCCAGCCCGGTAATTTGACTGCCTTCAATCATACTGACCGCAAATAACTTACAAATATACAATTGGCCCCAATATTAAAGGAGTACAGTTGCACAATATAGAGAATGTGTATGTATACCATTACCAGGCTGTGCAGATTAGCAGTGTTCATTTTCTTGATGGACAAGATAATATTTTGAGAGAAAAATACAGTACCTAGACAGGAATTTTTCAGGTGCTGCATGATTCCACCTCACTGTACACTTTTAACCAGTGAGGACAATCAATGGGCTGCTTGTCATCAGTGCACAGACTGTAAACATGGGGTGACAGGAGTTATGACCTCACATGACAAGGGTTACTGTCACTGATACCAGATTATAGAAGGGAGGGGAGTGGTAGTTAGGGTAGGTGACTACAGGTGCCCCCTCCCTACACACCCTGCAGGTGTGAGGTGAGGTGACAGGAGTTTTGACATCATATGACAAGGTGTACCACCACTGACACCATTTAGACGAACACAAGTGATCTGTGAGTTGTTACACACCAAAAAATTTAATGTTTCAAGATGTTTATGCAACTTTTCTTATCAAAAAAATCTGGGCAAGTAAATTTCACTCAAAAATTTGTCACTGCAATTCAACAAAATATCTGGGCAAGTAACAAGTAAATGTTCCACATACTGTAATCTGCACAGCCTGTTGTATAACCTGTAGTAATTCTCTGAGTACAGTAAACCCTTGATAACTCGGCATTTGATAACTTGAAATTTCATACAGGGTGAGCATAAAGTCTTTCCCTGATTACAAACATTTATTACACAAAACATATGCTAGGTACAAACATACAGTTTTTTGCAGCTTAAAATATGCATGAAAAAAAAAAATCTATGAATTCGTCTACACAATGCTACAACATTCATGTTTCTATCTAGAATGGTCTTCGAGATATGCAAGGCATGGATATGGTCTCGGAATGTATAAGTATAACTCGGGAAATGCCGAGATATATTAAGTTATCTGGAAAAATCTTGGTATATCTGGCCACCTACATCACCTACCATGCCTCTATTTCACCTACCATGCATCTGTGTCACCTACTATGATGCTTCATTCTTTGCCTGTAGTGCTGATAAGTGTTACTTTTTTACATTTAGTAATTACATGTACACATAAATGGGTCGATAATCTTTTATTGTTTGTTTTTTGTAGGAGGGAGGAAGTGCCTCGATAAGTCGTAATTGGGGATAACTCGGCAAGGCTAGAGCCCCATATGTGCCGAGTTATCGAGGGTTTACTGTACTTAGTTTCATATTGTAAAACTTCAGAATTAATAAAGTAAATGGTAAAATTTTCACTGAGGAAAATGAAGTTTATTATCAGTATAAAGCATAATTGTCATTATGTATGAAGACTGACCAACATCAAAACAGTAGTGACAGAGCCACCAGCTTACCTGCCTCTGTCACCACCATGTTTGACATCAGCAAAAAACAAAAAAAAAACAGTTTATGGAATAGAAGAAGGTATCAATTAATTATTCATCTGATCAAATGATGCAAATTCTTGATACTGTACAGTGTTAGAGTAAAAAAGTCAGGTACAGTACCAAGAAATTTAATATAAAATTGGGCCTCAGTCAGCCAAGTATGTGAAAAAGACTTACACACTTCTCGTACATTATTGTATTATACTTGCAAATACTGAAATTCTGTAAAATGGGAGAAAAATACTCCAACTAGTGTTTCTAACATGTTCATCAGAGAAAAAATCAGCCTGCAGAATTGCTTAAGTTGTCCAGAGATTACTACAATACAGGTCCAGTACAGGTATCACAGTCTGGGTTATAATCATTGACTCAGAAACAAAAGAATGCTCAGTGACAGAAATTAACCCAATTCTTCTATGATGAAGTGATAAAAGAAGTTAGTTCAATATTTAATGGGACACCCACATATGATTCATGTACAGTAATGTAATGCTCAAGATGATACCAGTAGTAAAAGGTAAGTTATACTGTACATAATCCATGCGCCTCAGAGTATGAGAGAAGCAAGGAGGAAAGACAGAGAATATGGGAAAACCTGCATAACTTCTGCACTGGAAGGTTTTATGTGTGAGACGGGGTGATAGTGATGAGGATGTGGAGGGGAAACAGGAAATATGAAGTACCAAGAATGAATGGAAGTGCAGAGAAACTGATACAAATTTATGCTGGGGAGGATTAATTGTGAGGATAATGTGGTTCAAAAGGAAAGAAATTCATAAGTATAAATAGAAGTAAGATAATGAAGAAGGTAGAGGGTTGTTAGACTATGTACTGGTGGACAGAAGGAAATATGGGTTGAGTTATATAAATGTACTATGAGGGGTGGTGCATGAAGTGTTTTGGTAAAATTAATGGTGAAGTGTTCTTCCACATGCTAATATTCATGCACACATCCATATACTGTACTGAATAAATAGCTGTGGCTGGGCATCTGAAAGTACTGAGTACAAGTGCCTATTGAAGTTTATTTGACTTGGCCGGCTTTACTTAATAAGCTATCTCCGTGTGAAGTCAGCAATGCCTATTCCTTCCATGACAAGTCTTTTGAAACACTCAAATTCTTAGAACAAAGAAAAAGTGTGAAAATGACCACGCCCACATCTTGAGATAAACCAATTAGTGTGAGTTTATAGGGATTTATAGTAATGTCATCTAAGGGAAGTGTGATTGGCTGAAGAACTTGTGCATTTTTGGTCAGGTTATGAAGGTGGCATTATCCAGGCATGGTGTGTAACATAAGTGGACCCAGACTCTTCGATATATGTTGGGAGGATTAAATTTCTGAGCCTGATAGGAACATAGGCTTATTATTCCCCTGGATCATAGCCATCAATGATCAAGCTGCATTTTAATAGATTAGGTTTAGGGCAAGATAGACTTTCTGTCATCCCCGAACTTTTTTAGCAAGGGGCGACCTAATTGAGGTGTATAAGCATCTCAAGGGGCACTACTCAGTCGAGTGTCCTTACTTGGAGCTGGCGGACGCTCGCCCCACAAGGGGTCACAGCTCAAAATTGAAGAATTGTGAACTCTTGGAACAATCTACCAAAAAGTGTTGTGACGGCACAGAGTGTGAGCTCTTTCAAGACAAGACTTGACCAACACTGGAGCAGGTTCAGGTACATTCAGGAGCCGGTGCATGCCCAGTACTTGCCAACAGTGCGTGACAGAGACGTGACCGATTGCCCGAGCGGCTAGAGCCGATCATTGGTGAAGAGGATAATAGTAAATAGTAAAAAAGTGTTGTAGTGGATACCTCCCCTACAAACGCTGCTTGTCGCTGAGCAGCCGACCCCGCGAATTCCCCAGTGTATGCCTCGTGGTCTAGGTCAACCAGCGCCGCCTTACATGACGGAGGTCAACTGTTAAGCCACGCCTACCTCCGCTATATAAGACCTGACCTCGTGGTGACCACCCTCTCTTTCGACCTACACCAATCAACAAGCAACACCTCCTCCGCCTGCCTGGCGGTCCTCGCTCCCGCCGGCGAGCATGGCGACCCACAAGCTGTCCTCCTCTGAGCGTCCTCACCAACCAGCTCTCTCTACATCACGCTTGTAACCATGCTGTCTTCCCAGCACCAAGTTGCATTGTACATCCAATACAACATGTATACAGAGAGCACATTGTGAGTTTCCTTTCTCCATCCCATCCTGAGTGTGAACCAAACATAACGAACCCCACAGTGTGTTAGAATATTCAATAATATACATACACTGTAATATAATTTACAAGTTCTCAAACTGTTAACCAGATATTGTAAGTATTAGATTTTGCCTTCATTTCTCTTTATTATTCAACCCTCCGTCGTCACTCCTTCCTTCCTTTACCCGTCACCTTTAGTCATCTAGTGGTCAGAACTTAGTCACCCATAGATCTCTCCTCATGTCCATTTAAGTAAATCATAATATTTCATGATAAATAAACCGATATAAATCTAATTAGTGCTATCGTGATTGGAATTTCTATGGTGAAAAATATGCAAACGAATGAGAAGAAGGTAATTAAAGTACAGTACTGCAAATGAACTGAGGGGAAAAATATAGTACAAATATTGTACAATATTAAGAAATGGTTGACAAGACGGATACGGGAATATAAAGGGAAAAGGGGTTAAGGAAAAATGAAAACTGTTCAAGAGAGTAGTCTTAGAAGGTGCATGTGAAATGTTTAGGTACAAGAAAAAAAAATAACAAGAAGAGGGTAAGGTGAGACTAGGGATGGTAGGGTCACTGAAGAAAGACAATGGCCCACGTACTTTAGCTGATAAAATTGAGTGTCAAAAAAAGTGGGTGGTGATAGTCATTTGCCTCCAGATAACACAAAATAGAACTTATATATACATACATACATATACATATATATATATATATATATATATATATATATATATATATATATATATATATATATATATATATATATATATATATATATAAAATCACACAGGAAAAGAAACAACGAGCACCTTGTGTCTTTATATATATATATATATATATATATATATATATATATATATATATATATATATATATATATGTGTGTGTGTGTGTGTGTGTGTGTGTGATAAAATATATTCTGGTACTTGACAGCAGCTATTACATTTGCCCTGACTTTAACTTTCCCGCGGTACCTACCCTGCTGTAAGGCAAGTCAGCCTAACTACTAAAAAATTTTTAGCACGCATTAAAAACTTATTAATGAACATTTTATCGAATAATATTTAATTGTTTTTTTAAAAGTTAATTCTTAAATTCCAAATTTTTAGTTTTAGATATTAATGAGTGTTGGTAAACACGTTTGAAGTTCGTTTGACTCCGGTCTAGCAGAAGTTCGATCAGTGTGAGGCGAGGGCTGGAGGCCGCAGTGATCAGCTGGGCTGTGGTGAGGGTATACACAAACATCTTGGGCACCTTCAAGTCTTCAAATCTGCCGTCCAAAATGCATACTTAATTTGGATTATCATGACCCTTTTATCTGGAAGTAAGTATTTGATATAAAGGATTGATCGAAAATGAACATTAATTGAATTGACAGTTAAATGGAAGCGTAATGTAATGTTTTGATAGGTGAGGTTGTTGGGTCAACTGGTCCAGTGTTGTGGTTGACGGCTCACACCCTCCTCCTGCAGTCTCTCTCTCTCACTACTACTTTACATTATTAAAATAACTTGAGAATATAGATTGGTTTTATTTTATGTTATCTGGGAGGTAAATGACGTAGGTTTGATGTTAAACTGAGGTGTATGGAATAAGAAGTAACATGAACACTTGTGATACAACTCGCTCTATGTTATACTTGTTCTAGACTATACCAGAAGTACTGTGTGTTATTATCTTGGTCTGTATCCAAACCTGCATGATGTCATTCTTTCTACAGTTGTCATAAAAAAATATATTTCCTTTTGAGTTGTATTTTCCCAGTACGTTCTTTGAGTTGTATTATTCCAGTACTTTCTTTGAGTTGTATTATGCCAGTACAGTACTGTAGCTGTAGTAACGTATTACTTGAACAATACTGTATGGTGTCATTAGAATAATACAAGTGACAGTATTAAATAAAAAAATATATAACTTCACATCTCAACTCTGCTGGTACAGGAGTTGGACCAAGAACTTAAATTGTATCATCAGCAGAAGAAACAATTGTACCTATGAATTTTTGGTGCAGGACAACTCGTACCCAGCGCAACATGTCAACTCGTACCCAAATATATGCGAAGTATAGTGACCTCCATGAATTACTTTACAATACACATGGAGTCGGTTAAAATGTTTATTCACCAGTACAACAAAGTACAGCCTAAAATGTTATTAAAATCATACAGGATCTTAAAAACTGTGCTTTTGTGTTTTTTTCATTGTATTGACTCCACAATTAATCAAGTCAGCACTGTCTATCCTTGCTTGACTTGCTTTTTGTACAGCTCAACATTATGAAGACCACAACCTTAACAAATATCTATAGTTGGACCAATTCTTCACTGTCCAATCCATAGACCTCAGCCTTTGTTTTTTTTTTTTTTTTTTTTTTTCGAGGATTAACCCACCCGGGCACAGGTCACTGACTCACATCAGGGCCTGGGGGCAAAAATATAAGGGGGTAATAATAATAATAATAATAATAATAATAATAATAAAAATTAATACAAAATTAAATATATATAAAATATAATACCTGTAATAATAATAATATGTAATAATCAGTAAATAAAAATATATATAAAAAAGATCAGTATTGAGAAATGATATATGTATATATGGTGTGTTATCATAGTAAGAGAAACAATTGAGACCCTGCAATTGTGTGTAAATGAGGCAGAAAGTGAGATCAGCAACCTGGGACTTGGGTCACAATTTTTGTGATGCTATGTTGCAGCAGGGTCTACCATTAGACAAGTAGCATCTACAGAGTTGAAAAGGGCTGTTAGCTTCTCAGAGGTGGCCGCTTGGGCCCTTAGAATGAAAATAACACTAGTGTTACACCTGGAAGGGACGAGCAAATGAATTGCCACACTGCTGATTCAAAGTCATCAACATCTGGAGGGTTAGGGATGGCTTACGTGATGTCATTGATCACTTTGTTAAACTCTTCTTTATGTTTTTGACTCATTAGTACAAAAGCCAGTGGAACTTGCTTTATGAAGTCTTCAGAATGGAGAAATGTGTGCACAGACAGTAACTGATAAAATGGTTGGCATACAATTAAACTAGTGTCACCTGTTTGTCAGCTTGTTTGGTATAAGCCCTGGGTTTTACTTAATAATTGTGTGGTTTGTGATACTTGTATGTAACTCAGATAGTACATGTACACAAAGATACACACATACAGATGCGCTGATTAACGGTAAGGAGGAGTATCATATGTCCCAACGGGATGAAGAAACTGCACTAGTTGAGACTGTGTGTGAGAAGGACCTAGGTGTGTATGTTGACAATGAGCTGAAGTTCTCGGGCCATTGCGAGAAGAAGGTAAATCAGGCAAATAAATTATTGGGTCTTATAAGAAGGTCGTTCAGATATCTAGACGGTCCGTCCCTCGTAACGATCTTCAAGAGTGAAGTGCTTCCCCATCTGGAGTACTGTCACCCCGTCTGGTCCCCAAGATATGCTAGGGACTGTCAGTTGGTTGAAAATGTTCAAAGGAGGGCCACCAGACTGGTGCCTGCCCTTCGGCACCTCAGCTACCCTGAGAGATTGGAGCGCCTGAACTTGCCTAGCTCTTGAATCAATTATAGCAAATAGCATCCGATCGCATTTAGAGAAAAGCAAATTAATCTACGACTGTCAACGTGGGTTTACAAATGGAAAATCTTGTCTAACAAATCTGCTGACGTTTTTTAGGAAAATTACGATGTTATTTACTTAGACTTTAGCAAAGCATTTGACAGAGTACCGCATCAGAGGCTTCTGAGAAAAGTTAAGGCTCATGGTATCGAGGGGAAAGTTTTAAATTGGATAAAATCATGGCTCATCGATAGAATGCAGAGGGTCAGCGTAGATGGTGTTAAATCTGAGTGGGGCTGTGTAACCAGTGGGGTTCCCCAGGGGTCAGTACTAGGCCCACTCTTGTTCATAATCTACTTAAACGATCTAGATACTGGGATCAGCAGTGACATAAGCAAGTTTGCGGATGACACCAAAATAGGGCAGGATGCAAATGCACTACAGGAGGATTTAAATAAACTGCAGGGGTGGTCAGAAAAATGGCAAATGAAATTCAACACCAGCAAGTGCAGCGTACTTAATATTGGAAGAACAGATACTGTCAATGTATACAGCCTTAACAACATCCCTAGAGAAGTCGACTTGTGAAAGAGACTTAGGGGTACTTGTAAGCCCGGACCTACGGCCTAGTAAACAGTGCGTTAATGTTCGAAATAAGGCAAACAGAGTTTTGGGTTTTATATCTAGAAGTGTAAGTAATAAGAGTGCAGAGGTCTTATTGCAACTATATCTTGCACAAGTCAGGCCACACCTCGATTATGCGGTTCAGTTCTGGTGCCCTTATTATAGAATGGATATCAGCTCACTGGAGTCAGTGCAGCGAAGAATGACGAAAATGATTCCGGGACTTAGAAACCTACCATATCAAGATAGGTTAAAGAAACTAAACTTGCATTCCTTAGAAAGACGAAGAGTGCGGGGAGATATGATAGAAGTATTTAAGTGGGTGAAAGGAAACAATAAAGGGGATATAAATAAAGTTCTTATAATATCCGAGCAGGGTAGGACTCGTAGCAACGGATTTAAGTTGGATAAGTTTAGGTTTAGGAGGGAGATAGGAAGGAACTGGCTCACAAATAGGGTGGTGGACGAGTGGAACAAGCTTAGCAACTTTGTAGTAAGTGCTGGAATGCTGGAAAGTTTTAAAAGGAGGCTAGATAGATTCTTGGATGATAGAGAGTGGTAGTAACTCTCGACAGGAGCTGCCATGCACAGGCCAACCGACCTATTGCAGACTCCTTATGTTCTTATACTACAGACGGGCAAGGGGTGACCTAATTGAGGTGTACAGTATAAGCATCTCAGGGGACACTACTCAGTCGAGTGTCCTTATTTGGAGCTGGCGGACGCTCGCCCCACAAGGGGTCACAGCTCAAGATTGAAGAAGCCCTAAGTCCAGAAAACTGTGAGGGCAAACTTTTTCGGAGTGAGAGTTTTAAACTCTTGGAACAATCTACTAGAAAGTGTTGTGACGGCACCGAGTGTGAGCTCTTTCAAGACAAGACTTGACCAACACTGGAGCAGGTTCAGGTACATTCAGCAGCCGGTGCATGCCCAGTACTTGCCAACAGTACGTAAGAGAGACGTGACCGATCGCCCAAGCGGCTAACGAGCCGATCAGTAGTGAAGAGGATAAAAGAACAACAGTATTATTAAAGATGAGCATCAACCATCATTGAGGTGGATACGAGTCATCATTAAAGTGGGTATGACTTGTCTCAGGTGGGTACGACTTGTCTTGGGGACGACTTTTCTCGGGTACGACTTTTCATAAATCCATGAGTTTCAGCCTAAAAACCTTGCAGTACTCTGGACCTGGGTGCTGGTTAATCAGCATCTTTATAAATTTTTTATTACAGAAAATAACTTCTTTCTTACTTTAAGAATATCCCAAAACATGTGGAAGAATTTCAGTTTTTGTACTACCCTGTATTATTTTGGTGACTTTCATCCTGAACACGAAACTACGGTATGTCGACCTGTTACCTCCCCTGGCACTGATGTCATAAAAAACATTGCTGTCCATCTATTAGGGTGCAGCAGTTTTGTTTTTAGTGATTGGTGAATGAGGATGTCTGAGAAGTCTAGCGTGACTCACTTGACGGATGCTAATTTTGGCACAAAAATCTTGTCATCATAATTTATGATGCACGTCACAGTCCATTGTATTTCATCATATGATGCAAGTTGTAGTTAAAGGGTTAAGAAGATGTAAGGGAGGATATTTGGATCCCTGTGTTGATATATGAGTACACCAAAAGTACTGTAGTTTGTATGTAAGATACCACATGAGTGAGCAAAACATCACTTGATGTTGAGGACTGTGAGGGAGTGACTTGTACACTTAGTACAGTACTTGCTCTTATGATGCTCTTGTGCTATGCTACCCAAAATACATAGCTTGACTCATTTTGACTTTTGCATTAACTGTAGCAGGGGTCTTGGCTATTCAAATAATGTAGCTTAAAGTATCCTTGTGTATTGCAAATTTTTGATATTAAAGAATAAACTGTTCAGTAGCATAACAGAACAGAATAAAATGGTACAAAGCGTGCGATTGTTTTTTTAAATTATGGTTCAGTATCTAAAGGAAGAAATTAATGGCATGGGGTTTTTGGAAGCATAGGGTCAGTCCAGTGCTTTTATTTTATTTCATGAAAGATGAGCATCTTAATTTAAGGTGTACAGTATTACAGATGTTAAACTAACATTGACCCACTCCTTCCTTTTTAACCTTTGATTTAGGTCACATACAGT